TTGCACCGCACCGAGTGCACCGCACCGAGTACGCCGAGTACACCGAGTGCACCGAGTGCACCGCACCGAGTGCACCGAGTACACCGAGTGCATCAATGCACCGAGTGCACCGAGTACACTTGCAGCGCACAGAGTGCACCGAGTACACTTGGAGCGCACCGAGTGCACCGAGTACACTTTCAGGTGTTTAGGCTTTTATCTATCTACCGCTACCTACCTATCTATCTATCTACGTATGGATGTGTGGATGCATGTACTGAACTGTATGTATATCTATCGTTGTTCCTAGTTGTTTGTCTTTCTATCTGTTCTCTATCTAATGAATGTCTTTTCTTTTCTTCTTCAGCCTGCTTTTTCCTACCTATCGGTATGTCTATGTCGGGTAGTTGTCCACTTTGAACTAGCTTTGAACAAGTGACCTGAGGAATCCGTTTTTTACCCCAACAAGGGGTCCCTAGGTCACTTGTTGCAACATGAAATAATTTAATTCAACAGGTCTTAACAAAAGACGGCCAATTAATCTGAAACCAATCTATCTAATCTATCTAATCTATCTCATCTATCTAATCCATCTATTCTATCTATTCTATCTATCTATCGATCTATCGTTCTATCTATCTATTCTATTCTGTTCTATGCTATTCTATTCTATCCTGTTCTAATCTAGTCTATCTATTATAATTCTATTCTAATCTAACCTAATCTAATCTTATGTATCTATATATCTATCTACCTAATCTATCTATCTTTCTTTCTTTCTCTCTACCTATCTATCTATCTATCTACCTATCTACCTATCTACCTATCTATCCATCCACCTATCTAACTATCTACCTATCTATTTATTAATTCTATCTATTCATTCTATCTATCTATTCAATCTATCATCTATCTATTTTTTCACTCTATCTATCTGTTCATTCTTTCTATTCGTTCTATCAATCTTTCCAGTCTATCAATCTTTTCATTCTATCTATCTGTTCATTCGATCTATCTGTTCATTTTATCTATCTATCTATCTATATCTATCTATCTATATCTATCTATCTATATCTATCTATCTATATCTATCTATCTATATCTATCTATCTATATCTATCTATCTATATCTATCTATCTACATCTATCTATCTATCTATCTATCTGTCTGTCTGTCTATCTATCTATCTATCTATCTTTTCTACTCTATCCCATCCTACCTGTGCTAATTCTATTCTATACTATCCTATTCTGTTCTACTTTTGTCCGCTCTATCCTATTCTATTCTTTTCTATTCTAAATCTATTCTATCCTAGTCAATTCTAATTCTAATCTATTCTATTCTAATTCTATTCTATTCTTGTCTATTCTATTCTATTCTTTTCTTTTCTTTTCTTTTCTATTCTATTCTATCTAATCTAGCTGATCTAGCTAACCTATCTAATCTATCTAATCTGTCTAATCTGTCTAAGCTGTCTAATCTGTCTAAGCTGCCTAATCTGTCTAATCTGTCTAATCTATGAATCTAACCTATCTATTCTATCTATTCTATCTATTCTATCTATTCTATCTATTCTATCTATTCTATCCATTCTATCTATTCTACCTATTCTATTCTATCTATTCTATCTATTCTTTCTATTCTATCTATCTATCGATTGATCTACTTCATCTATTCTATTTGTTCTATCTAGTCAGTCTAATCTATCTATCTATCTAACTATCTATCTATCTACCTCACTATCTATCTATCTAACTATCTATCTATCTAACTATCTATCTAACTTTCTATCTATCTAACCATCTATCTATCTATCCATCTATCCTTCCATCCATCTATCTATCTATCTATCTATCTAGCCTAATCTAATCTAATCTAATCTGATCTGATCTGATCAAATCTATCTATCTATCTTATCTACCTTATCTATCTTATCTACCTTGTCTATCTATCTATCTATCTGTCTGTCTATCTATCTATCTATCTATCTATGTATCTATCTATCTTTCTATCTATCTATCTATCCATCCATCCACCGATCTATCTATCTACCTACCTATCTATCTATCTGCGTACCTATGTGTCAATCTAGACCTTTCTTTCGCATATATCTACCTATTCCGTTTTAATCTATCTTATTGATCTTTTCTTTGTTCCAAGTGAAAGTCGTAATACATGTCAGATAGAATGCCCAACAGAATGTCAGAATAGATGTCAGACAGAATGTTAGGTAAAATGTCAGAATATATGTCCACATGTATGTCTTGAAATGCCACGGTGCGGATCACTCGAAGTAAAGTAGTTTAAATCTATCTGGCTGTTGTTCTTTCGCTGTCGGTTTTCTTTCTATCGTTCTATCTCCATGTTTTTCTACCTCTCAAGTTGTTTTGTCGTTCTGTATTTCTATCTTTCTACCTGTCTGCCTTTTTTGTCTTTCTAATTTCTATCTTTCGTGTCTATCCACAAATCACGTTTTTTTCTCCATCGCTTAAACATTGTCAAAAGAAACTTGGACAATCTTGAACAAATTATATATTGTGCACTTGTTTGCTATTTTCGAGTTTTTAAAATCTTACTTGCGCTGCCAGAGAACAGTCTCAAGAATCAGAATATTTTTGTATGTTAACCGAACATTATCTTAGAGGCAGCCTTGATGCTACGCTGTAGAATGTTCACCCGCACTTGCACAGGGGGGCCTCTACATTGTAGAATGTTCGCTTTAACTTGCACACATCCTTGCCGCCATGTAAATATACAGAATGTTGACTTGCTCTTTTGCATGCTCTTGATGGTACGCTGCAGGCTGTCCACGTAGCACGCATGCTTGATGCTACTCTTTACGTACACCTTCCTCCACACAGAGTTGATGCTTTGCTCCGTGCTGTTCAAATTTCCTTTGCATTAGAACTCATGCTCCACGCTACATTACAGAATGTTCGCTTGCACCTGCACTTGCATCTCCTCGCCAACTCAGCCAATTGAGCGCACCCAGCGCGCCCGGCTCACCCGGCGCACCTGGCTCACCCGAACCCGGCGCACCGCGCACCCGGCGCAGGCGGCGCACCCGCGCGCACACAACCTGCGCACCCGGCGCACCCACCCGCACCAGCCACACACTCGGCGCACCCAGCTCAGCGCACCCGGTGCACCTGGCGTACCAGTGCACCCAGTGCACCCAGCGCCACCCGGCGCACCCGGCGCACCGGCGCACCCGGCGCGCACCCGGCGCACCCGGCGCACCCAGCGCACCCAGCGCACCCGGCGCACCCGGCGCACCCAGCGCACCCGGCGCACCCAGCGCACCCGGCGCAACTTCAATCTGAAGTCACGGTTTCCCGCTGCACTGAAAAATTCGAAATGAATCTAAACGCAGCCACGGCGGTCTGAAATGACGTGGACCGGTCCAGAAAGCAAGCACCCGAAACGCAAGCTAAACGCAGCCAGTACGGTCCAGAAAGACATGTAGCCGGTTGGAAAGAGCACCTAAAACGGTAAACGCAGCCATTGCGGTCCGTACAGGCATTCAGCGGTCCACGCCGTTGGCTTGCGAGCACGCACGGGCAGAGTGCATGGGCAGGGTCTCGATCTTCGGCATTAAGTTGAAGCCCGTGGCCATTATGCGAAACATTTCGTTGTTTTGCAGTCAGAAATTTGCACGTGCGCGGCAAGAAAAGTCAAAGCAAGAGCTTGCCTTGTGCTTTTTGAGACCACCATAGATGATTCTTGATTGTTGTGTTCAACAATTGTAGCTAGGCTCTGAGCAATGGGTAGCTGACTTCAGCAGGAAGACTATCTTCATTGCTAGCTCAGCACTTTATCCGAGCGGACCCCACGCGCTGAATCAGGTCCGAAACAGGCCCGAAACACGTCTGAAAGGCGGACCTTCCTTCCATCTATCCATTCGAGCCCGCTACGCACAAATATCCTCTTGTGACGCCTCCGAAACACGAAAGCAGCACCCAATTTCTTTCCCAAACCATGGTGAACGAAACCCTAAAAATTCTTCTACATGCCTTTTGAAACCCGACTAAATCTGACACATTTCAGTTTTTTCCAGCTGTTTGCCTCATTTTGCAGCCAGCGAGACCGCCGAGCACAAACTATATGCCCTTGTGACGCTTGCGAAACACCAAAGCATCACCTAATTTAGTTCCCGAAACGTCGCAAGAGAAACCCCAAAACTTTCTTAACGTGCCGACTGAAATCCTACCAAATCTGACGGTTTTCAATTTTTCCCAACTGTTTACCACATCTTGCAGCCAGCGAGCCTGCCACGCATCCCCTTGTGACGCCTCCGAAACACCAAAGCACCACCTAATTTCGTTGCCAAAACGTGACGCTGGTTTGTTCCCAGACTGTGACAAATGAAACCCAATAACTTTTTAACGTGCCTTCTGAAATCTTACCGAATCTGACAGTTGTGAGTTTTTGTCCAGCTGTTTGCCACATTTTGTAGCCAGCGAGCCGGCGAAGTATCCACCCACCTAGTTTAGTTCTTAAACATGTGAAACCCTAGAAATTCTTTCTTTCTAATGCAAACCCATGAAAACAACTTCCCGAACCGCTTCTGAAACCCCTAGACATTATTCTTTCCATAGTTTCCAGGCCCAAGAAAACGCACCTCCGGAACTGGGAAGCGCCGTGGCAGTTTGTGTTTGTGTTTGTGTTTGTGTTTGTTGTGGTTGTGGTTGTGGTCGTGGTCGTGGTCGTGGTCGTGGTCGTGGTCGTGGTTGTGGTTGTGGTTGTTGTTGTTGTTGTTGTTGTTGTTCTTGTTGTTGTTGTTGTTGTTGTTGTTGTTGTTGCTGTTCTTGCTTTTGTTGCGGGAACTCTTCTTCCCTGGCGCGCTCCACCTTGCATCGGCCGGGGTCGGTGGATATGATCGCTGATAAGTTGAAGGGCATTACTGGTGAAGGGGAGTACTTCAACAAATGTGTTATTTTGGCGGAATGGTGTTGAGGAGGAAGTTTGCACTTCAAGAGTCTTGCAAAACCGAGTTCTTGCAGTGCACTTTTGTGCCCAGGACGGCCCCGGTGTGGCATCCAATTGAAGAGTTGTCGGCGTATTTCAGCTTTGTAGCTTCGCAAGACGAGTCTTTGTCCATCACAGAGAAACTGGTTTCTCCTCCTGTAGCGCAATTTCGCGCCGAAGCTTCAGAAGGCTTCCAAGGTGCGGGTGCTGTCGGACGGATCTGTGCTGAAATTGCTTAGCACCAAGAAGCGGCGGCAATTCCCACAATCATCAGTGATCAAATCAGGATTGAAAGGAGGCATATCCGGAAAATGCATAGAAGGGATCATAAGCGTTTGAGTGGTCCAATGTTACATTTTTGACCCTGTTTGCTCCTGGAATTCGTGTGTTGCTTGCCCTGGGAGGCTGCTACCACGCCTTATTCGGCCCATGGGCTAAGAAACTCCAAGGCAAGTATCTTGCCCATGTCGACTTGGTGGTCAGGAAGGGGGACGCTCGTTTCTTAGGAGACGGTTGAGTCGGGACGCAGGCAGTTTTTGCCACCAGCTCGACCTTTGTGTGATAGGGTTTCGTTGTCGATGTAGATATGGGGATTTGCATTGCCTGGTCAGACTACCAAAAGGTAGCAAAGCCTGACTCACCTAACAAGTCTGCCTCCAAATTGCTTGACGGCACGCGCAGACTTTTGTAGACCAGCAAACCACTGAATGTGATGATGCCTGCCCCAACGCGACAAATGTGGGCCCAAAAGACAAGCACGCTCGGAACAGGCTTTTGAATGGATAGAAAGAGTTGAAGGACGTGAAATTGAATTCCCACAAAGGGAATGCCATGTTGGAATTCGATTTTAACGTTGATATTGACCGTTTTGAGTGCCGCTTACCATGGCATCGATTTCTTTGGCTTACATAAGTCTTCCATGTTGGTATCCAGTCGTGACAATCGTATGGAGTCCAAGCGCAGTTTGGTGACAAAATCTAGATTCCAAGTGGCACAGCATGGCACAGCTATCCATCTTATGTTTGGCTTGTTTTTTTGGACAGGAAAAGCGCCTTATGTGTGGCAGGGACCTGTTTGGTCCAATATGACCGTATGAGTTGCAACCAGTTGCCAGTCCTCATACAAGAATTTGCAGGAAAAACATTTGTTGAAACGTAAATAGTGATGTAACACAGCGATTAGCACTGTGAAATACTGAATATGGGAAAACGTTCCAAAAATATTTCAGTTTTCTGTGGATGAGGGGAGTGGTACTGAGCGGTGGCATTTTTCCCGGACCCGATTTATTGTATCGGGCGGAAAAAGTCAATGGTTTTTTTTCCGGATGCAAACAAAAACAAGGCCAGACTACTTGCTAGTCCTCGAGCCCCCAAAAAATAATTCCTTTATTCCGAGTAGGATGAAAAAATTGAAACACACCACCCAGAAAAGAACGCAATTGTTGGGATGGTATTGAAGGCTGTCAAAGACCTTCCTGATATTTCCCCAGATAGCTGGCAAGCTATAGGGGTTCTTACTTCTCTAAGGTGGGGTCTTCGGTGGCGAACTTTTGAGCCTGCGTCTGGCAACGCTGCTGTGCAGGGTGCTGTTGTGCAGGGTGCTGTCCAGACTGCGGTGGCGAAGTCTGGCAAAGGTGCTGTGCAGGCTGCTGTGCAGGCTGCTGTGCAGGGTGCTGTCCAGACTGCGGTGGCGAAGTCTGGCAAAGGTGCTGTGCAAGCTGCTGTGCAGGGTGCTGTCCAGACTGCGGTGGCGAAGTGTGGCAAAGGTGCTGTGCAGGCTGCTGTGCAGAAGTGGCGAAGTGGCAAAGGTGCTGTGCAGGCTGCTGTGCAGGCTGCTGTGCAGGGTGCTGTCCAGACTGCGGTGGCGAAGTCTGGCAAAGGTGCTGTGCAGGCTGCTGTGCAGGGTGCTGTCCAGACTGCGGTGGCGAAGTCTGGCAAAGGTGCTGTGCAGGCTGCTGTGCAGGGTGCTGTCCAGACTGCGGTGGCGAAGTCTGGCAAAGGTGCTGTGCAGGGTGCTGTCCAGACTGGGGTGGCGAAGTCTGGCAAAGGTGCTGTTGCAGGCTGCTGTTGCAGGCTGCTGTGCAGCACTGCGGGTGCGAAAGGTCTGGCCAAAGTGCCTGCTGTTGCAGGTGTGCTGTCAAACTGCGGTGGCGAAGTCTGGCAAAAGGTGCTGTTGCAGGGCTGTGCAGGGGCTGTCCAGACTGCGTGGCGAAGGTGTGGGCACAGGTGCTGTGCAGCTGCTGTGCAGGGTTGCTGTCCAGCTGCGGTGGCGAAGTCTTGGCAAGGTGCTGTTGCAGGCTGCTGTGCAGGGTGCTGTCCAGACTCGGGGCGAATCTGCAAAGGTGCTGTTGCAGGCTGCTGTGCAGGGTGCTGTCCAGACTGCCAAGTGTGTGCAGGCTGCTGTGCATGGCTTGCTGTGCAGGGTGCTGTCCAGACTGCGGTGGCGAAGTCTGGCAAAGGTGCTGTGCAGGCTGCTGTGCAGGGTGCTGTCCAGACTGCGGTGGCGAAGTGTGGCAAAGGTGCTGTGCAGGCGGTGCTGTCCAGACTGGGGTGGCGAAGTCTGGCAAAGGTGCTGTTGCAGGCTGCTGTTGCAGGCTGCTGTGCAGGGTGCTGTCCAGACTGCGGTGGCGAAGTCTGGCAAAGGTGCTGTGCAGGCTGCTGTGCAGGGTGCTGTCCAGACTGCGGTGGCGAAGTCTGGCAAAGGTGCTGTGCAGGCTGCTGTGCAGGGTGCTGTCCAGACTGCGGTGGCGAAGTCTGGCAAAGGTGCTGTGCAGGCTGCTGTGCAGAATCCTGTCCAGACTGCGGTGGCGAAGTCTGGCAAAGGTGCTGTGCAGGCTGCTGTGCAGGCTGCTGTCCAGACTGCGGTGGCGAAGTCTGGCAAAGGTGCTGTGCAGGCTGCTGTGCAGGCTGCTGTGCAGGGTGCTGTCCAGACTGCGGTGGCGAAGTGTGGCACAGGTGCTGTGCAGGCTGCTGTGCAGGGTGCTGTCCAGACTGGGGTGGCGAAGTCTGGCAAAGGTGCTGTGCAGGCTGCTGTGCAGGGTGTTGTCCAGGCTGCAGTGGCGAAGTGTGGCAAAGGTGCTGTGCAGGCTGCTGTGCAGGGTGCTGTCCAGACTGCGGTGGCGAAGTCTGGCAAAGGTGCTGTGCAGGCTGCTGTGCAGGCTGCTGTGCAGGGTGCTGTCCAGACTGCGGTGCAAAGGTGCTGTGCAGGGTGCTGTGCAGACTGCGGTGGCGAAGTCTGGCAAAGGTGCTGTGCAGGGTGCTGTGCAGGGTGTTGTTCAGACTGCGGTGGCGAAGTCTGGCAACGGTGCTGTGCAGGGTGCTGTGCAGGGTGCTGTGCAGGGTGCTGTGCAGGGTGTTGTGCAGAGTGCTGTGCAGGGTGCTCTGGAGGATGTTGTCCAGAGTGCGGTGGCGAAGTCTGGCAAAGGCGCTGTGCAGGGTGCTGGGTGCCGTGCAGGGTGTTGTGCACGGTGCTTTGCAGCGTGCTGTGCAGGGTGCTGTGCAGGGTGCTGTGCAGGATGCTGTGCAGAGTGTTCTGTGCAAGGTGCTGTGGTTCTTTGTTTTCAGCAATGGTAACCTGTGGTTCCCACGTTGGCAACCGTGAGTTCCAACCTTTGGGAACCGGCAGTTCCTTTCCATGAACCAAACGCAAACAGTCCGGTACGGTCCATTAAGCAAAACAAAGCGTTCTGTACCGGTCCATTAAGCAAAACCATAGAGTTGTAAGGAAATGTTTTCATATCACTTTAGCATGCACCTTTTTCGTGCAAAAACATTTTTATGCCGCCCATCAGCCAAACGCAAACATTCCGCTACCGGTCCATTAAGCAAAACAAAAGGTTTTGTTACCGGCCCAGTAAACAAAACAAAACAACATTAAGAAACATGAGTTCTAACTTTTGCAATCAACAGGTCCTTCCACTGGTAACGTATGCTTTTTCAGGTTTGGATCCATGAGTTTCAAGCTTTGGGAACCCGCAGTTCCTTACAATGATAGCCGCTTAGCTTTGAAAACATAAGTTCTAACCTCTGGGAACCGGCAATTCCTTGCAATGGTAACCTCTGGTTCCCAGGTTGGGAACCGTAAGTTTCAAGGTCTGGGAACCGGCAGTTCCTTGCCATGGTAACCTTTGGTTCCCACGTTGGGAACCATCAGTTCCAAGCTTTAGGAACTGGAAGTTCTTCGCAATGGTAACCTATGGTTCCCAGGTTGGGAAGCATGAGTTCCAACTTCTGGGAAACGGCAGTTGCTTGCAATGGTAACCCATGGTTCCCAGGTTGGGAACCATGAGCTCCAACCCCTGGGAACCGGCAGTTCCTTGCAATGGTAACCTGTGGTTCCCACGTTGGCAACCGTGAGTTCCAACCTTTGGGAACCGGCAATTCCTTGCCATGAACCAAACGCAAACATTCCGGTACCGGTCCATTAAGCAAAACAAAGCGTTCTGTACCGGTCCATTAAGCAAAACCATAAGTTGTAAAATGTTTTCATATCATTTTAACATGCGCATTTTTTGTGCAAAAACATTTTTATGCCGCCCATCAGCCCAACGCAAACATTCCGCTACCGGTCCATTAAGCAAAACAAACGGTTCTGTTACCGGCTCAGTAAACAAAACAAAACGACATTAATTACACCGGCATAGACCCCAGATAGAAAAGATTTCATGGACCAGTAGCGGAATGTTTGCGTTTGGCTGATGGGCGGCAAAAAAATGTTTTTGCACGAAAAAGGTGCATGTTAAAATGATATGAAAACATTTTCTTTACAACTTTATGGTTTTGCTTAATGGACCGGTACAGAACGCTTTGTTTTGCTTAATGGACCGGTGCCAGAATGTTTGCGTTTGGTTCATGGCAAGGAACTGCCGGTTCCCAAAGGTTGGAACTGATAGTTGCCAACCTGGGAACCATAGGTGACGCTTTTACATGCAGACACTTTTACATCACAGAGGCTTTTACATCACAGAGGCTTTTACACACAGACACTTTTACACACAGACGCTTTTACACACAGACGCTTTTACACACAGACGCTTTTACGCACAGACGCTTTTACACACAGACGCTTTTACACACAGACGCTTTTACATGCAGACACTTTTACATCACAGAGGCTTTTACACACAGATGCTTTTAGACACAGAAGCTTTTACACACAGCGCACAGACGCTTTTACACAGACACATTTACACACAGAAGAAATCGCTATTTTGCTTCAGTTTTTTGCAATCGAACCTCATTTCGTGCGAAAGGGTTGCGACGGGAACCCGGAAATCGCAATTTTACCTCAGTTTTTGGCGATCAAACCTCATTTTGTGCGAAAGGGTTGCATTGGACACCTCAAAGTCACAATTTTACCACAGTTTTTGGCGATCGAACCTCATTTCGTGCGAAAGGGTTGCGCGGGACAACTTGAAATCGCAATTTTACCTCAGTTTTTGCCGATCGAACCTCATTTCGTGCGAAAGTGTTGCGCGGGACGACTTGAAATCGCAATTTTACCTCAGTTTTTGGCGATCGAACTTCATTTCGTGGGAAGGGGTTGCGTTTCGTGCCATCTCGTTGGCACTGCCCCTGCTCCTGCCGTCAAGAGAGAAATAGACAAGAAGGAGAGGGCAAGAGGACAAGAGGAGAAGATGTGAAGATGTGAGAAGATGTGCAGATGTGAAGATGAGAAGATGTGAAGATGAGAAGATGTGAAGATGAGAAGATGTAAAGATGAGAAGATGTGAAGATGAGAAGTTGTGAAGGTGAGAAGATGTGAAGATGAGCAGATGTGAAGATGAGAAGATGTCAAGATGAGAAGATGTCAAGAGGAGAAGATGTGAAGATGAGCAGATGTGAAGATGAGCAGATGTGAAGACGAGAAGATGTGAAGACGAGAAGATGTGAAGAAGAGAAGATGTGAAGATGAGAAGATGTGAAGATGAGAAGATGTGAAGAAGAGAAGATGCGAAGATGAGAAGATAGATAAGAAGGTGTGAAGATGAGAAGATGCGAAGATGAGAAGATGCTTTACAGACCCCCACTATTGGAAGAACCCTGCGCTCAGACGCTTTCGGGAAAAAATAAGGATCCGAAGCTCAACGGAGAGCAGCGTCCGTTGGGGTTCGGAGCAAGACAGTTTGCAGCACAAAAAATATTCCGGCTAGGGGCTGGCTTTCGTCCCCCCTTCTCAGGTAGTATATTAAATGTTTGTGTATGGGGATTTTGCATTGCCTGGTCAGATTACCAAAAGGCAACGAAGCCTGACTCACCTCAAAAATTGCCTCCAAGTTCTGTGACAGCGCGCGCAGACTTTGGCAGATGGCCAGCAAACCGCTGCATGTGATGATGATATCAGCGCCAACGCCACACATGTGGGCCCAAAAGAAAAGCGCGTTCTGAACAGGTTTTTGGAAGTGCTAAATCACTATGTTCAAAAGAATGCAAAGTAGTCATCGACTTCTTCGGAATTCGACCAATTTCCTTCCGCAGCTGGCTCAGACTACACAAATCTGCGAAATCCACGTCAAAAAGATGGATGAGGAGCACTTTGACATGCCGTCCTCTTCGCAAACATCACGGTCAAAGACCGAGATGGAAGTGTATTGGCACTTTCAAAGGAGACGAAGGCTGGAAGGGTTTGTAGACTTTCAGCCTTGTTGTTGTGGAACGGGAGGGACATTCTGTCACTGTCAAAGTTTTCATGAATTGAGAAGATGGGGTATATGATGATATGTGTGTAGAGAGCCATGGGATGTTTTTTGATATTTGTGAAAGGAGGGCTAATTATTTTAGGATTTTTTTTTGATCAGGTTTAGGAATTATTTTTGGATTCCTGCTTCTCTGCTTTTCCTGCTTTTCCTGCTTTTCCTGCTTTCCTGCTTTTCCTGCTTTTCCTGCTTTTCCTGCTTTTCTTGCTTTTCCTGCTTTTCCTGCTTCTCTGCTTTCTGCTTTTTTGCTTTTCTGCTTCTCCTGCTTCTCGCCTTTTCTGCTTTTCTGCTTTTTTGCTTTTCTGCTTCTCCTGCTTCTCTGCTTCTCTGCTTTCTGCTTTTTTGCTTTTCTGTTTTTCCTGTTTCTTTGCTTCTCTGCTTTTCCTGCTTTTCCTGCTTCTCTGCTTCTCTGCTTTTCTGCTTTTCCTGCTTCTTTGCCTGTCTGCTGTTTTGCTTTTGTGCGTTTCCTGTTTCTTTGCTTCTTGCTTTTTTGCTTCTCTGCTTTTTTTTTTGCTTTGCCTGCTTTAAATACTTGATTTTCATGTAAGATGCATTTTGCACAGTATTTACATCCCTGAGTATCACATGACCAATGACCAACCTTCTCTTGAAAACTAGCAACGTAACATGTGAGAAGAGGTGCTTGCATTCTGCTTTGGGGGGAGGCGCTGCGCCCTCCCCCAATCCCCCCCTCCCGCTTTTTTTTATTTAAACTTAAACCCAAGTTACATTAGTTGGTTTTTGCGAACTAACCTTCTCTGGAAAGCTGACAGGATTACATGTGATAGATAGATAGATAGATAGATAGATAGATAGATAGCTGATAGATAGCTTGGTAGATAGATAGCTAGATAGATAGATAGCCAGCTAGATAGATAGATAGCTAGAGAGATAGATAGCTAGATACCTCGATAGATAGATGGCTAGATAGATAGCTAGATAGATAGAAAGCTAGCTAGATAGATAAAGAGGTAGATAGATAGATAGATAGCTAAATAGATAGGTAGATAGTTAGCTAGATAGATAGATAGCTAGATAGATAGCTCGATAGCTAGATAGCTGGATAGACAGCTGGATGGCTAGATAGATAGATAGCTAGATAGATAGAAAGCTAGATAGCTAGATAGCTAGAAAGATAGTTAGCTAGATAGCTAGATAGGTAGATAGATAGCTAGCAAGATAGCTAGCTAGATAGGTAGATAGATAGCTAGATAGATAGATAGCTTGCTAGATAGATAGCTAGCTTGCTAGATAGATAGCTAGCTAGATAGCTAGATAGCTAGCTAGCTGGATAGATAGCTAGCGCCCTCCCTCAATCCCCCCCACCCGCTTTTTATCTAATCCCAAGCTTCCGCATCTGTAAATATTTGGGTGAACATGCTCACATGTAGAACATCCCATGCAAAATGGAAGGTGAACATGCCAAAATGTGGCAAATACCATACAAAATGGAAGGTGAACATGCCCACATGTAGTAAATCCCATGCAAAATGGAAGGTGAACATGCCCAAATGTGGCAAATACCATGCAAAATGACAAATTCAAGTTCCAACCCGTTGCAAACACTAGGCAAATGGTACCAGCCAAGAAATCCAAAAAAAAATCCCAAACCTGCTCAAAAAAAAAATCCTAAAACTATTTCACACCCTTTGTGAAATCTGTCTTTACTTGTCTCCCAATTCAATTGTCTCCCAGACTGGCTGGTGGTGTCCGGCTCTCCGGATGTCTGTTTTCACCCAAACTTGATCACAGCTAGCTTCTGCTAGCGGAAGTCCCTCTTGCTTTAGCAAGATGTTGTGGGGCTGGAATCTCCAATCGCATTAAACTTCATAGAGGCACACCTGACATGTGCAACGATAGTTCTCAGGGCGTCCCAGCCGATGGACCAGTGGCAGCATTTTGCGGGAGCCCCTGCAACCCGTCTGCAGAAGGAACCAGCCGTGACTCGAGTCAATCATTGATAACCCCCCAATGGGTCTGAAGTCGACGCAAAAATATACAAAACCTGTTTCTGGCAACACGTCAATTTAGCGAAATCTAGCTGCATTGTGCTTCTTTGCAGACTCACAAGTGTTTTTTTCCCGAATGCGTAGCGAAGGGTTCCCGTTTATAGTTGGGGGTCTGGGGGTTGGACCCGTGTTCGCCGCCAGTTGGTCGGCGCGACGTTTTTCGCGTCGTTTTCGCGTCGTTTTTCGCGTCGTTTTCGCGTCGTTAATTCGGTGTCTAGGGGAAGCTGCAAAACCTCGTGTTTTTTGCGACGTAGATGTCGCAGTGTCTATAGGGGAAGCTGCAAAACCTCGTGTTTTTTGCGACGTAGATGTCGCAGTGTCTATAGGGGAAACTGCAAAACCTCGTGTTTTTTGCTACGTGGATGTGGCAGTGTCTATAGGGGAAAACCTCGTGTTTTTTGCGACGTAGATGTCGCAGTGTCTATAGGGGAAGCTGCAAAACCTCGTGTCTTTTGCGACGTAGATGTCGCAGTGTCTATAGGGGAAGCTGCAAAACCTCGTGTTTTTTGCGACGTAGATGTCGCAGTGTCTATAGGGGAAGCTGCAAAACCTCGTGTCTTTTGCGACGTAGATGTCGCAGTGTCTATAGGGGAAGCTGCAAACCCTCGTGTCTTTTGCGACGTCGATGTCGCAGTGTCTATAGGGGAAGCTGCAAAACTTCGTGTTTTTTGCGACGTCGATGTCGCAGTGTCTATAGGGGAAGCTGCAAAACCTCGTGTCTTTTGCTACGTGGATGTCGCCGTGTCTATACGGGAAGCTGCAAAACTTCGTGTTTTTTGCGACGTCGATGTCGCAGTGTCTATAGGGGAAGCTGCAAAACCTCGTGTTTTTTGCTACGTGGATGTCGCCGTGTCTATACGGGAAGCTGCAAAACTTCGTGTCTTTTGCTACGTGGATGTTGCCGTGTCTATAGGGGAAGCTGCAAACCCTCGTGTCTTTTGCGACGTAGATATCGCAGTGTCTATAGGGGAAGCTGCAAAACCTCGTGTTTTTTGCGACGTAGATGTCGCAGTGTCTATAGGGGAAGCTGCAAAACCTCGTGTCTTTTGCGACGTAGATGTCGCAGTGTCTATGTGTTTTGCGACGTCGATGTCGCAGTGTCTATAGGGGAAGCTGCAAAACCTCGTTTTTTGCGACGTAGATGTCGCAGTGTCTATAGGGGAAGCTGCAAACCCTCGTGTCTTTTGCGACGTAGATGTCGCAGTGTCTATAGGGGAAGCTGCAAAACCTCGTGTTTTTTGCGACGTCGATGTCGCAATGTCTATAGGGGAAGCTGCAAAACCTCATGTTTTTTGCGACGTAGATGTCGCAGTGTCTATAGGGGAAGCTGCAAAACCTCGTGTTTTTTGCGACGTAGATGTCGCAGTGTCTATAGGGGAAGCTGCAAAACCTCGTGTTTTTTTGGTACGTGGATGTCGCCGTGTCTATAGGGGAAGCTGCAAAAACCTCGTATTTTTTGCTACGTAGATGTCGCAGTGTCTATAGGGGAAGCTGCACAACCTCGTGTTTTTTGCTACGTGGATGTCGCCGTGTCTATAGGGGAAGGAAGGTGCAAAACCTCGTGTCTTTTGCTACGTGGATGTCGCCGTGTCTATAGGGGAAGCTGCAAAACCTCGTGTCTTTTGCTACGTGGATGTTGCCGTGTCTATAGGGGAAGCTGCAAAACCTCGTGTCTTTTGCTGCGTGGATGTCGCCGTGTCTATAGGGGAAGTTGCAACACTTCGTGTTTTTTGTTCCGTGGATGTCGCCGTGTCTATAGGGGAAGCTGCAAAACCGGGGAAGCTGCAAAACCTCGTGTCTTTTGCTACTTGGCTGTCGCCGTGTCTATAGGGAAAGCTGCAAAACCTCGTGTCTTTTGCTACGTGGATGTACCTCGTGTCTTTTGCTACGTGGATGTCGCCGTGTCTATAGGGGAAGCTGCAAAACCTCGTGTCTTTTGCTACGTGGATGTCGCCGTGTCTATACGGGAAGCTGCAAAACTTCGTGTCTTTTGCTACGTGGATGTTGCCGTGTCTATAGGGGAAGCTGCAAAACCTCGTGTCTTTTGCTGCGTGGATGTCGCCGTGTCTATAGGGGAAGCTGCAACACTTCGTGTTTTTTGTTCCGTGGATGTCGCCGTGTCTATAGGGGAAGCTGCAAAACCTCGTGTCTTTTGCTACTTGGCTGTCACCGTGTCTATAGGGGAAGCGTTGTAGTACACAGTAGTAGTGGAACGTGTTTGACGGGAAGTGCTTTGTGCAAGTTTTGTAGTACACAGTAGTACTGGGAAGTGGTTTGTGCGAGCTTTGTAGTACACAGTAGTACTGGAACGTGTTTTTGCAAGCTTTGTAGTACAAAGTAGTACTGGGAAGTAGTTGTTGCAAGCTGTTTAGTACACAGTAGTACTGCGAACGACTTTGTGCAGGTTTTGTAGTACACAGTAGTACTGGGAAGTAGTTTGTGCGAGCTTTGTAGTACACAGTAGTACTGGGAATGCGTTTGTGCGAGCTTTGTAGTACACAGTAGTACTGCGAACGACTTTGTGCAGGTTTTGTAGTACACAGTAGTACTGGGAAGTAGTTTGTGCGAGCTTTGTAGTACACAGTAGTACTGGGAACGGCTTTGTGCAAGCTTTGTAGTACACAGTAGTACTGGGAAGTAGTTTGTGCAAGCTTTGTAGTACACAGTAGTACTGGAACGTGTTTGTGCATTTGTAGTACACAGTAGTACTGGGAACGTGTTTCTGCAAGCTTTGTAGTACACAGTAGTACTGGGAAGTAGTTTGTGCGAGCTTTGTAGTACACAGTAGTACTGGGAACGTGTTTGTGCGAGCTTTGTAGTACACAGTAGTACTGGAACGTGTTTGTGAAAGTTTTGTAGTACACAGTAGTACTGGGAAGTAGTTTGCGCGAGCTTTGCAGTACACATTAGTACTGGAACGTGTTTGTGCGAGCTTTGTAGTACACAGTAGTACTGGGAAGTGCTTTGTGCAAGTTTTGTAGTACACAGTAGTACTGGGAAGTAGTTTGTGCGAGCTTTGTAGTACACAGTAGTACTGGGAACGACTTTGTGCAAGCTTTGTAGTACAAAGTAGTACTGGGAAGTGCTTTGTGCAAGCTTTGTAGTACACAGTAGTACTTGGAAGTGCTTTGTGCGAGCTTTGTAGTACACAGTAGGACTGGGAACGACTTTGCAAGCCTTGTAGTACAAAGTAGTACTGGGAAGTGCTTTGTGCAAGTTTTGTAGTACACAGTAGTACTGGGAAGTGCTTCCTGCAAGCTTTGTAGTACAAAGTGGTACTGGGAAGTGCTTCGTGCAAGCTTTGTAGTACAAAGTGGTACTGGGAAGTAGTTTGTGCAAGCTGTGTAGTACACAGTAGTACTGGGAAGTGCTTTGTGCAAGTTGTGTAGTACAAATGTGCAAGCTTTGCAGTACAAAGTAGTAATGGGAAGTGCTTTGTATAGTGTGGAGTGGGGAGTGTAGAGCGTGTAGAGTGTGGAATGTGTAGTGTAGATTGTAAAAAGTAAGAGTGTAAAGTGTAGAGTGTGGAGTGTGGAGTGTATAGTATAGTGTAGAGTGTGGAGTGCAAAGTGTAAAGTGTGGAGTGTGGAGTGTAAAGTATGGCGTGTGGAGTGTAAAGTGTGGAGTATGGAGTGAGGAGTGTGGTGTGTGTAGAGTGTAGAATGTGGTGGAGTGTGGCGTGTGGAGTGTGGAGTGTGGAGTGTAGTGTGTGGAGTGTGGAGTGTAAAGTGTTGAGTGTGGAGTGAGGAGTGATAGTGTGCAAAGTGTGGAGTGTAAACTGTAGAATGTGGAGTGGAAAGTGGCGAGTGTGGAGTGTAAAGTGTGGCGTGTGGAATGTGGAGTGAGGAGTGTGGTGGGTGTAGAGTGTTGAGTGTGGTGGAATGTGGAGTGTAGAGCGTAGAGCGTGGAGTGAGGAGTGAGGAGTGTAAAGTGAAAAGTGTGGAGCCTGTAGTATAAAGTGTAGAGTGTGGAGTGCGGAGCGGAAAGTGTCGAGTGTGAAGTGTAGAGTGTCAAGTGTAGAGTGTTAAGTGTAGAGTGTAAAGTGTAGAGTGTGGAGTGTGGAGTGTAAAGTGTAGTGTGCGGAGTGTGGAGTGTAAAGTGTGGAGTGTGGAGTTTGCAGTGGGTAAAGTGTGGAGTGTGGCAGGTGGTGGTGATCTCGTGGTGCTGGTGATGTTGCTGTGCTGGTGATGCTGTTGTGTTGGTGATTTTGTTTTGATTTCATTGCGCTGGTGATATTGTTGCGCTGGTTGTGATTTCGTTGTGCTTGTGGTGATGTTGTTGTGCTGGTTAGTTGTCTCTTTGTGAACCGCACGATGCATGCAAACAAAGGTTCGTTTTCCTATTGCAGAGGTTTGCACTCGTAGTCCAAGAACGTGAATACATTCGGGTTCGTGGCTTCCATCTTGTTTGTTCGGCCTATGCTGACTTGACCTATGGAAATGATGCACCTCGTTTCTATGGATTGCCCAGATAGACAGTCATTTTGTATGTCAATGTAAACTATGTGAACGCATTTGTTACAAAGTCATACTCTTGTTCGCACAGGGTTTTGTTTAGCATGGTTTCCTTGTCAGATCCCCTAGCTGCCACTTGAGTTGGAGATTCAACGTTGTCTATTCGTCACTTGATTGGTACAACATGGTACAACAATATAGCTGTCAGGTGGGATATTTGCCAGCTGCCATGAACACCGCGGGCAGCTGCAGAAACTATGCAGAGACCATGGGACCAGACTTCAATTCTGGAGGCTGATGATACGGGGTGATTTGTAACTAGCAGCTTCAGAATGCAAAAGAATGGCACAAGCGTGTGTGTGGCAGTTCCTGTTGTGCCCCAAAATTCATTGGCTCCTTCTGTGGAGCACAAAGACATTTATTGTTGACTTGGGCTGGTTGGGACCCAATGAGCACATGTGAAGAGCTTGCGATTAGGAAACATGAAATCAAATTGAAACTTCTTGGGCTTCAAGCTTCAAACAGCTTGATCAGGAGCTGCCAAACAAATTGTCTAAACCAGTTGAATCCCGAGACACCCTCAGACTCATCCAGTTGCCGTCACTGCAGGAAATTTCTTTGTTCAGGCTCTGGTTTGTGATCCAGCTGTAGCTCTTTGCTCTGACTGAAAGATCCTTCACATTTATCGAAGTCGCAGGAAAAGACAACATAGGACTCAAACCATGAAGTAGTCTCTGTACTGCTGATTGTTCATGGAGGCACGCCTGACATGTGCAACGATAGTTCTCAGGGCGATGCTGCAGTGCAGCCAGTGGCAGCTGCTTTTGGAGGAGCCCCTGCAACTCGTTTGCAGAAGGAGCCAGCCGTGAACCAAGTCAATCATTGATAACCCCCCTATGGGTCTCAAGTTGACGTAAAAATATACAAAACCTGTTTCTGGCAACACGTCAATTTAGCGAACTCTAGCTGCATTGTGCTTCTTTGCAGACTCACAAGTGTTTCTTTTTTCGGTTTATGCTGACTTGACCTATGGAAATGATGCACATCGTTTACCTAGATTGCCTAGATGGACAGTGTGCTTGTGGTGCCGGGCTCTCCAGTTGTTTGTCTTCATTTGCCTCCTTTCATTTGTCTCCCAGTCTGGCTGGTGGTGTCTGGCTCTTTAGATGCCTCTCTTTACTTGTTTCCCTTCATTTGGCCCCCCTTTCTGGCCGGTGGTATCCGGCTCTTTGGACGTATCTCTTCATTTGTCTCCCTTCATTTGTTTCCCACGCTGTCTAGTGGTGTCCGGCTCTCCGGATGTCTTTTCCGTGCTTTAACTTGTCTCTCATCATGTGTCTTTCGCCATGTGTCTCCGAATTTACCAGTCTCCCGTAGTCTCCCAATTAATTTTTCTCCAGTCATCGGTCTGCCTTAGTGGTGGTGTCCGGCTCTTTCGCCTGTTCGCCTTTGTGTGTCATCCATCATTTGTCTCTCACCTTCTGTCCCGTACTTCATCTGTCTCCGAAGTCACTTGTCTCCAATCATATGTCTGCCTTAGTCGCGGTGTCCTGTTCTAGTTTCATCATGATTTTGTTCGTGTTTCGTGCTTGTTTTTTTTTTCTTTACTCCCTTTGTATCCCTTTGTGTTTTCTTGTTGTCTCAAGATAAATCATGTTCCACTATGGTTTTTAGGCGTTTTACCACTTGCCTCCCACTTGTCTCCTACCTTGTCTCCCTCTTATTGTCTCAGATACAAATGTCGTGGCAACAAAACGAAACCGTGTGGCTTGAACAAAAATGCTTGTGATTCATGGTGCTTTCGATTGACATGGATAAAAAATACCAGCAAACAGAATTGGAACGGCAATTGAAAGAGGCCAAGGACGAGGCTCGGATTCCATCTTCCGGTGCCTCTGACTCTAGTTTTCTCCGTACTAGTACTAGTATCATTAGAGGTTCATTATACTCAAATTCACTGCCATGGGCGTCGATTCTGGGGGAATCATACAGTAATCTCTTCCGTCTTATGTTTCATTTTCATCATTGTAGCACTTTCACATTGGACAGCACCTGTTTGAAATTACTCCCCACAACGAGTGCCAACAAGGCTGCCGCATATCTTCATGCTCAGGGACGGAGGCCACTGTGTGAGATTTGCAACGCAAGATTTGCGTTGCTTGTTAGGCTGCTACGGCGGAAATCCACGCCCAGCTGCTATCGGCCAAGGAGGAGGCAGTCACAACAATGTCAATGTATCAATGGTGGTATATATATATATATCTACATATATAATATGATTTGATAACATATGATAACACTATGACTTAATATGTAATCATGTTGATATGGTATCACAATGTATCACAGCAATGTTACACATACGTATAATTTATAATCATAATAATAATATGTTGTTATACCATATGAGCGCAATTAGTCCATTGTGTTTTACAACATGTCAATCGTTGTGCTTTGATTCACCTAGAGGTGGCATCTTTGCAAGCCCAGCTCTCTACGACTGAGGCAGACAGATCCGATAGTGTGAGGGTAGGATTTCACGGAAGTGAGGACAACTCGTGAACTCATGGATTTCCAAGTTGAAAACGCGTGTTTTGATTGTTTTTGTAACCTGAGACCTGCCAAAGTTGCAGCAAGGGCAGCAGAGGATGCTCGCGCTGCGCAAACTTGTTGATTCACTAATGACAGATGTTAAGCTTCCAAGAGATGGAGGATACCATATGATACCATGCTATGACTATAATTAAACACGTTATCCAACTGTTACAGTATGTTACAATTACAACTAAGAAATTTTCGCGGCCACAGCTCCCAGACGCAGACAGGTTGACCTTTGCTACTGCTCCTTTCCTCATGGAAACTTCATGAATTCGCTCCGAGCGGGCAGGTGGCAAATGTTGAACTTGAGAAGAGCTTAAAAGAAAGGGAAGAAGTTGGGACCTTGAGAACCTGAGAGCGGACGTTTTGGCCACTGGACACTGTCAGATTTTCACAAAGTTTTCTCTCAATTGCCGAGGAGCCGCTAGTTTAGCCTGTGACCACCAACAATGGAACTGGTTCAGGGTTGCGAAAGTTTGTAGCCGCTGCTTCGCGGCTGATTGCTTCGAAACTTGCTCGCCAATTTTTGGCTGGCAGCTTCAGACGTATAATCACTTTCTTCAATTAAATTCTACTGTTGATGATAGTTGGCGGTAGTGAATAGGAGAGAAGAATGAAAGTGACAACCACAGCACTACTTGGTGGAACCAAAACAGCACATTAAACCTGTGCTGAGATGCAAATGGAGCACTTTGTCAATATTTCTGCCAAAGCCAAGGTGGTTTCCATCCTCCAAGCGGATGCAACGAAGCTTGGGGTCTCTTGCCTGAGATCTTACAGAGTGAGACTGAACCCTTCAAGTGATCTGAAGTAATACAATGATAATTGCAAGGAAGAGATTCAGAACATCAAGCTGAGTGAAGCAAACAAGGCAGAGGTGCAGCTCTTGGGATCACTCGGATTCAAACATTCTTCCAGATTCTTCAAATCAACATTCCTTTTCCATCCTAACCATCCCGTGAATTTGTGGAGTCTCAGCTTCCTGCCTCTGACTGTCTTGCAACTTGCAGGCTGAAAGTACTTTGACTGCCCAGGTGCGGCTGATTGTGGCATAAGAATAAAACTCTTCAATGTCTCATCCAGAGCCATCATCCAAGACATCTGTGCCCCAATGGGTGGGATTGAAACTATCCAAACCATCCCCGAAAACTGCCAGGTTTGTGAGCTGCAGGCAGAGAACAGCCGCTTGCACGCGCTTCTTCAGGACGCACTGGAGACAGTGGGGATCAAGCCATTCGGGGTCCCCAACAGAATACATGTGTATATATATATATAATATTATTATAATATATATATATACAGAATCCCACCACAGGCTGGTGGGTTTTGGGTGTTTTTAGCGTTTTTCATATAATACATATTAAAAATGTGTCAAAAAAAATATCAAATATATAGTCTTCATTTGCCTCCCTTCATTTGTCTCCCAGTCTGGCTGGTGGTGTCTGGCTCTTTAGATGCCTCTCTTTACTTGTTTCCCTTCATTTGGCCCCCGTTCTGGCCGGTGGTATCCGGCTCTTTGGACGTATCTCTTCATTTGTCTCCCTTCATTTGTTTCCCACGCTGTCTAGTGGTGTCCGGCTCTCCGGATGTCTTTTCCGTGCTTTAACTTGTCTCTCATCATGTGTCTTTCGCCATGTGTCTCCGAATTTACCAGTCTCCCGTAGTCTTCCAATTAATTTTTCTCCAGTCATCGGTCTGCCTTAGTGGTGGTGTCCGGCTCTTTCGCCTGTTCGCCTTTGTGTGTCATCCATCATTTGTCTCTCACCTTCTGTCCCGTACTTCATCTGTCTCCGAAGTCACTTGTCTCCAATCATATGTCTGCCTTAGTCGCGGTGTCCTGTTCTAGTTTCATCATGATTTTATTTGTGTTTCGTGCTTGTCTCTTTTCTTTACTCCCTTTGTGTTTTCTTGTTGTCTCAAGAAAAATCATGTTCCACTGTGATTTTTAGCGTTTTACCACTTGCCTCCCACTTGTATCCTACCTTGTCTCCCTCTTATTGTCTCAGATACACATGCCGTGGCAACAAAACGAAACCGTGTGGCTTGAACAAAAATGCTTGTGATTCATGGTGTTTCCAATTGACATGGATAAAAATTGCCAGCATCAGGACTTAGTTCTATGGGAATTTCAGGATCCTAAAATGGAGGTACTGTACCATATAATATAAGGCCATATTTTGTGGGGATATTCCCTTACATAGGCCTTATATATGGTACGTACCTCCAATTTAGGTTCCTGAAATGGTCATTGATTAGTATAACCACAAACATGCACGCAGACGCTGCAATGGATATGGACAAACTGCCGAACTGTTTGGGGTCTCCGGGGGTGTAATTTGATATCTTTGAAAGCAGAAGATGAACAATATTGAGAGCCAAACACTCCACTCAAGGTGTTGAGCACAGAGCAAAGACGCCCGCAGCCTGAACTTTTCCCACCATCCTTGCTCTGTCTTTTGAATCCAAATCCCACCAAAATCCCATCAAATTCCTATCATGTTTCCAGGCTCATTTGAACGGTAGCTTTCGTTCACCCCCCCCTTGGGCCTCAAGTAAAGATCACTCTGCCAGAGTCATCGCCATGCATCCAACTATGGCGAAGATGATCCCTTTTCCTAAGAGTCTGGTTTGGGTGTATGGCTGTAGTCTCGTGTGGAATTTTGCTTCTTCTTCAACAGAACCATCGAGGGCCCGAGAGGGAAGCAATTGGTAGCTCTTGGGGTTTGGTTGGGTCAGGCGCCGTCGCCACAGATGTTCGACATAAGCAGCAGAGATTTGGACTGCGAGTCCGAGGTGCTCACACCGGGCGGGTCCTAGTCGAAACGATGGGAAAGTGACCCAAATTCACTTGAATACACAGGTAAAATGGGTGCCTTTCAGATAGGTACAGCTTGGAAAAGCAAGTGAGTTGGGTAAGGAGCTAGAGTCACAGGGTTTGGTTGGGCTAGGCCGCGACGACGCAGACGTTCGATATTTCCAGCAGCGATGGGCCCGAGGTGCTCACACCGGGCAGTTCTGAAGGTGAAACCCTGTTGCGAGAGCAGGGATTGAGCAGGTTGATTGGTGACATCATTGGAGGTTTTACCATATAACTTGGTTGATTGGAAACAATTAGGATCCAGACCATATATATATATATATAATTATATATTTGTACACACACACATGTTGTACATGTTGTATCCGACAGTCAGAGATCCCTCTTTTGGTCAGTCATCACTTTTCTTTCGATGATTGATATCTAAAGCAATTGTACAAGAACTGAATGTTATTTTTCACCAACCCTACCTTCCTTACAGCTGGGGGTTAGAACCGGAGTGAATCACTAAGTCACTAAGTCTGGGTGACGATTTCTCACCATGGCAGGGCCAGGAGACTCCGAGGGCGCCGCAGGCGAACTTCATCGAGGGCGGGCAGGCCGGATTGAAAATGGGAGGATTTGGTTTTCTGCTTGGTGGTTTGGAACATTTTTTTAAAATGATTTTCCATATATTGGGAAGAATAGTCCCAACTGACGAACTCATATTTTTCAGAGGGGTAGGTATACCATTACCACCAATCAGTTTTGTTTTCTGTTGTTTAGGTCATCGATCATTGGCCACATTGGTCATGGCCATGGCCATAACATGTTAAAACAAACCTAGCACAGAGGGTACCACCAGCAAAAACTTGTGGACATTTTCTCAAAATGACATCCACACTACATTAAGTTTAGGGACTCAGATGATTGTATCATATTGTATCCTTGAACAGAGAAGAACTGTAAGTTGGTCATGCGTAATGTCCGACGGCAACTGAACCCCAAAAGCCATCAGTTTCCCTACTCAATTTCAAGCATTAAAGATTGTGCCTGACAATTTGGCGTCCCCAATTTCTGAAGACACCCTATGTATCATTTTCCCACTAATATCAAATGTGAAAATTGAGGTTATATGATATATGTATATATGTAATTATATGTATACATGTATTAATCATGTCAGAGTTTTAGGACGCCCGCAGGGGTTGGTACCGGAAGGTATTTTCTCCCGGTTTGAACACGATCATATTCTCATCAGACTCCCATGTGGGTTAATTGATTTCCATTTATTTGACAAGACTTAGTCCACTATCAGTACCCATTTGTTATCCATTTGTTATCTTCCGTCATTTGATGAAGTCTATCCTGGTTGAATATTTGTGAACGGAACATTTTGATGAAGTCTATCATTGCTAATTAAAATAAAATTGCACACTGAGAATCCCATGACTCATGACTGATCCATGTTTACTCCATTGGGGATGGCGCTCCCCATTTGCAGGCCTTGCGTGATGCCATACTGAAGTTACTGAAGGAAGTGGATCAAAGCGTGCAGGACGGGCGATCCGGCGATCCGGTGAAAAAATTATGGTGCGGAGATTTCAACCGTAAGCCCGAAATACCAGTTAGACATGGTGAGGTTATCATTCCATAAAATTTATGGTGGCGTTATGACATGTTATAACTTTCTTACAAACGAATAAAGGGCCATAACAGCATCGTCACCGAAACCTCGCGGGGATTTCACCAAGCAACACTGGGTGTGTATCGAGCAACACAACGGGTGTGTGTAGAAGATGTTGTGCCTGGTTCTTGATGGTGCCATGGTGCCATGAAAAATGCACAACCAACAAAGATGGAGATATTCCCCAAGATATTTGTGTTCATGAGCTCGCCGTTCAACCAGAAATATATTGACCCAAACAGGTTAACCACATATTCCAGAACGTGGGATTTAACCAACACACACACACATATATATATATATATATATATATATGAGAAATTCATCAAAATATGAGGATGTCAACTAGAAACAGCGGTTCTACTTCTGGCATGTAAGCCTTATCTCAGCATCGAAGCGCTGCTGTAGAGGGTCCAGTCTAGGAACCGAAGAAAACGTCTAACGTCTTTTCTAGTAGCAAAATATGTTGACGTGAAGGAAACTTATTAAGCAATTGAAGTGACCACGAAAGCGTTCTAGAGCACATTGCTTGTTGTTCAGGGGTCATACCTTCGATTTATGTTCCATTGTGTTCCATGTGCGGATGTCTGAAATTCCTATATCAGCCACTGATATCCACTAGTACGCTTCGACTCTGTTAGACTCTTCAGTGCTGGCTATGGGTTGAATTCTGTTTTTTTGGTCGCAGTCAAACATGACATCGCTCCAGATGCTTGGCTGATTTTCCCTGCCCATTGAGCGCTCACCTCGGAGCATCTACCATTCACCTCCTTTTTTGTGCCCCACAAAATGAATAGATACAGTGCAAAACAATGCAAAACACATCAAAATAATCAGTTTGCTTTGGGGGGTACTTCATGTTCGGGGCCTAATGAGGCCAGGAGTTGTTTTTTTTTTTACAGAAACTGCAGGAAAGAACTGAAGCGTTATCGGCCGAAGCAAAGGAGGTGGGGTCGCCGGGTATCATGATGACCTAATAGTCATGGGGAAACCGCCATAGCTGCTACCATAGCTGGATGGTTTATTTGCTGGAAAATCCATCTATAAATGGATGATTTAGGGTACACCTATTTCAGGAAACGTCCATATAGATATGACTGATAAATTATGTTATAAGGTATGTAGCAACCCCTAAACGATAGAATTTGACCACGTCCTGCTAATTTTTACAAAGGTGTATCAATTTGACCATTTCAGCATTTGCTGGGAATTACTTGTTGTGCTGTATGTGAAACAGCAAGGGAAGTGGAGACCCATGATGTTTGTCTCAGAAGAACCACATTTTGCCTGAAATAGGCAAATGTCCGCAAATCTGACTTGCCCATACTTTCCCTACAATTTTTCTTTATATACAGGAACCCCTTCATTCCTTGGTGCAAAAAGAAATTGCAAAGCTCTGGTTGAATCATAATTGTTCCCCCTGTGATGGTGATGTTCGGCGCGCCCCATCCCCCATTGAACAAACCCACAGCATCGTTTCAGTTTCATGAGTCAAACATTGTGTTCTTAAGATATGTTACATATGTTCTTACGATATGTTGGTATCCATGAGTTTCTCAAAGTGAAATTTTGATTCAAAAACTCTTTTTGTGAATGCACCACTTGGCAGGGCAAGATAAAAAAGATGTGTCTCTGTTGATTTCCCTCCTTTGAATTGGGATGTTAATGGATGATTTACCAATTGTCCACCAATTCAGCACATGTTTTTCTGTCACAATTTCACGGAAAAAGGGAAGATTTACAGCGATTTTGCTGAGAAGTCCCCTACGGTGCGATCACCAATAGTGAAGTCTCTGCTAGTAATTCCTTATTTTTATGTTGGTTGAACCAAAGATATTTAGAAGGTATGAACAGGTCCGATTTACCGCTATTTTAGGAGATTACTTCCGAATCTTTTTTGGTGTCTCCTCCAGAACAGGCTTTGAACCAAGCCCAACAAAAACACCGTGAAGAAGTGAAGGAGTTGATGGATGAGCGTTGTGCAGTGCAAGCTTGCGTCATCACTGCGAGAGCAGCCCAGACCTTCATTCACATCAACACATGCATCCCCGCCATACGGCGAAATATGTGATCTGATGAAACATGGTAGAGTATGGTCTAGTAAGTCTCCCAGTGGTCATGCCACAGTATCTGCTCCAAGTTTGGAAGCGTTTTCCTTTTGCCAAGAATGAATACCACAAATGGAAAATATTGGGCAGCAAACGCAGTGTGACTTACAGAATGGAGCCGGAGTCTTGTTCATCTTTTTGTTACAAGTTATTATCAAACATGTGGTCTGTATCAATATCGCGTATCTTCCACCACCAAAGGTCAGGCACAAAAAGGCATGTCACAAGGCAGGGTTCATAGGATTGCTGTGGTCCATTGGTGTAATATAGATACATATAGCAAGTCTATGAACCTTTCCGTATGACATTAAATGACAACTTGGAGCTTACCTGCAGGATTTGCGAGTATACAAAGTTCTGTATGAGTCACGAGATGAACCTGCGCGGCGCCCCAAAATAAACAAACTCAGGGGGGTCCAACCAGTTGAATATATATATATATATGTCTACACACACATGTATATATATACATATACGTAATATGTTTATACATATACATATATGGATATGTAATATATATATATATATGTATATATGTATATATGTGTATATATGTATATATGTGTATATATGTATATATGTGTATATATGTAAATATGTATATATGTATATATGTATATATGTATATATGTATATATGTATATATATATATATATGTATATATATATGTATATATATGTATATATATATGTATATATATATGTATATATGTATATATATATGTATATATATGTATATATATGTATATGTATATATATGTATATATATGTATATATATGTATATATATATGTATATATATATGTATATATATATGTATATATATATGTATATATATGTATATATATACATATATACATACATATATATACATATATATATATATATATATACATATATATACATATATATATATATATGTATATATATATGTATATACATATATGTATATATATATGTATATATGTATATAAATATCACACACACACACATACATATATATATATACCTTGACCCTCCAGAACCGCAAAAAACGTAGGGTTTAGAAAATACCCAGGGTTTCCAACCAAAACCCAGGGTTTCAGTTTCGAGCCTTTTTCTCCGGCCCATCCCCACGCTGCCAAATCCCACTCAAGCTATTCAAGTTGCAGAAGCTCCTTGAACTTGACACATAGCCCGGAGCTGAGGGGCAGTAGAAACAGTGCAGGTGGCTTAAATTGTGACCATGCATCTGCGCATATATGTGTGAAGGGTAAAAATATATATGCATGTATATGTGCAAAATGGTGTGGTGGCAGTCTTTTTTAAGAACATATATAATCTTAAGGTTCAGCTCCCAGAGGCTCTAATTAAATACCCTGCATCTACGAATGCAGAGTAGACTGCTTGGAGGTGTCTAGATACCACTCTTTCTTCACATCGGGCACTATGAACATGTCGTGACAACCGCGACCCTCTTCCTATATAATCTTCGTCCATTTGGACAGAAAACGCCAATGGGCTCAACACTCGGCCTTTGGCCGAGGCCCAAAAAAGTTCGAGCCAGAGGTGGTGCAAGGCGTGGGCTTTTGGCATCAGCAAAAAGTGTTTCAAAGCCCTGGAGTGCGCGTCAATTGCCATCTGCGCATAGCGCCGGAGAAATTTCAAACCATATTCTGCAGCCAGCTTTGCTTGATCACTCTCCAGCCATGCCCCAGAGTTGTACAGCAATTTCAAACAGGAGTTGATGGCAATGGCTGCCTGCCCTCCCATGACCAGCAAAGGATCTTGACCACTCCAGTCTTCAGCCCTGAAGCGGGCTTCTACCCAGAGCATTAAGCTCGTGCTCAGATCACCTTTATGCCAGCTTCCTGTGGGGTAGCCTTGGTTCCAGTTGACATGCTCCTTCGTGATCTTTTGGCAATGAGCCTGTTTGTGGTTGGCCTTGCACCATTCCAAGTACTTTGAGGTCAGAGATTCAAAACGTCGGTCGACTGTCGATTCAGCTTCCATGTCGCTCAGCAATGCCAGCATCGAGCCCAAAAAGTTCTTGGCAACACCAAGATGCCAGCAGTGAAACAAGTCGAAACGGAAGAGGGTGGCCAGTTCCCCGAAAACATGTGGTACTGCCTCAAATGGACTGGGTTCCGAAAACGGAGACTCCTGAAGGAGAGATGCTGCCCACAAGGGGTTTTTGGTCTGAATCTGCTCAAAGGGAAAGTCGGATGGGGCTCCTCCTTCACACTGGCCTGCGCTGCAAAGGTGACAGATGCCACGGCAATCTGGGCGAGAATCTCCATGTGCCTTGTGCTTTGGCACATTCATGAAACTCCGTTCCAAGCCACATTTGGCTAACCACGGCCAATCACCAACCACGCCTAAGCAGAAAGCCCACCATCGCTCGCCGCCTGGAGCTTGGACACCCACATTTGCCACATGAGCCAGCTCCTCAGTAACAGTTTTCAATAGCAAATCGAAAACGTAGCTGTTCTTGCCACTGTACCCAGCCTTGGCAATGGCAGACACCAGAAAGCGGTTGGTATAGGAATGGCCCTTAAAGTTGACCAACATTTTCAAATACTTCTTTTTGACCGTTGACTTCATGCCAGGCTCCGCCCCCCGTCCCAGGGGACTATGGAGGTTGAGCACCAAGAACGGCAGTCGCTTCTTGGATCGGCCTTCATCTCCATGAAGAAGGATCGCCACACAACGTCGCAGGCAGACTTCACCTTCCCTCTCTTTTTGAAATATCGGGTGTTCAGGAGACTGCTTTTGAAAGTTGCGCCGAAAGGCTTCCCATATGTCACCTTCTCTTTCAAGGTTGGGTTTCACCAGACCCGCCAAAATGTGGGTACAATTGTTCTGGATCAAAAAAAGAAGCCAGTCTCTGAACCGCAGAAAAGGAATCCGAAGGGAACGGCTCTTGGTTTTCAAGAAGCCCTTCCGGATTGGAATGGTCAAGCCAAGTCTCTTTGACATCAGCCGTTCGCAATCCCTTTCCCTATTTTTAGGGTTCCGCTTGGCTAAATCTAAAAGGCTACCTGACTTTCCAGCAGCTGCCTCACCAACATCAGCTACAAAGTCACGCGCCGTCCGGATGGCGGCAGCACAAGAGGCCTCAGCGAAGGAGCAGCTAAACAACAAGATTGGTATAAATTGTGCTAGGTGGGGATAGGAAGATGAGCTCTATGATATCTCTATGTGCAACGCAGCAACGGTGCCACCGTAATTCGGACAGTATGGAAAGATATCTGGTCACTCAAACTTAGCGAAGCCTTTCATCCAAGAGATTCCAAAAGCACCCATAATATATAGCGACCCATATAGCAACCCATAGTTAATATACAGTACTGTACCCATATAGCGACCTCTTTTGCCGCGTATCTATATATAGGTTTTTTCCTGCCACCGCACCGTTTTGGTTTAGCACATATACCAGCGCACCTGCAATGTCATAACCTCCGATCATCCAATGGTTTTATTGGAGGAGGAACTCTAAATGATCTGTACACGACATATGTCATAAAACGGCTGTCACTTGTAGATAGTTCGGGCATAACGGTGTCACCACCAGCTTTGGTGTTTTTACATCCAGGTCTACCTTGTGTGGGCTGACAATTTTCAAAAAACATGCGCCACTTTATATTTGCAAATAGAATGCGCAGAAAAACCCACCATATAAATATTATAAATTGACAAGGGTTCTGATGCTCGAAAAAATAGGAGAAACACAAAACAACACAAACAAAAATTATTGTTTGCTTCAAAGATGCTTCGGTACTTTTCGATAAGTGCCGCTTCTAGCATGGCAGGGCTGTAAGGTTCCTTTGCGTAGTAGATGATTACCATGTTCGACCACTTGTTGCGATCAAAGCGATAGCCATAGATATCATTACCCCATCTCCAAATGGGGTTGTGTGTAAAACCGATTTTGAACGTAAGTGGTTCCTGCATTGAAAACAATTTTTCCAGCACGCGTATGGAGTGGGCCAGAACTGCCCCAGCCGATGCGGTGAGGTCACAAAGTTTCAAACTGATGCACCCTACCGCTTGGCACTCAAGGGATAGTTGGCTAAGTCGAGGTGACCAGTGTGTGGGATGCGCGGTTCCCTCCGTACTTGATTGTTTCATCCTCTTGACCACTGGTTCATGTGTAGCCGAACTAGATGAACTCGCCCATGGGAAAGGAAAATTCTCATCCTTGACCACTGTTGACAAGAAAGGACAATTTTCTGGAAAGTCCCCTTGTGTTAAAAGAAAATGTATGAACAAATATACCACAAACAATTTAATACTGTTTGAAAAAATACGGCAAACAATGTACGCAGTGTAAAGTCAAGTTTCAGTCCGGTGACAGGTTAAAAGGTCCAGGAGTTCTTCTTCTGCCGATTCACCATGGGTCGGTTGAAAATTCATCCAAATATGAATGGGGGTCCAGTCTTGAGAATCAAAGGGCATCCCAAAAAAAGTAGAAAATGCATCGAGTCATGGCGAAAGTTTTGTCATGTTTTCACATTATTGAGGCCATGGCCCCTTGGCCAATCGCTGCGCACATCCCTCGAATGGCTCTTCCAGGTCTGACACCTGGCATGGGGCGAAATGACTGCATGATCCTAGCTGTTTGGGTGGAACCTGGCAAACAAGGGGTTAAGGGCAAATCGGAAATCCAAACTTGCATTGACCCAAATTTGAACTCATTGTCAAATTGTTCGATCCGTTTTTTTCCAAATCCCTGCTATGATTGTTTGTATTGAAAGTTTGCATCCGAATTTTACGGATGGTGAAAGTGGGCCAAAAGAGGCAAGTGGCTAAGAACCACAATTTGGACACATCCCAAAAGGCTCACCAAGTGCCATCTCTCGCACACACATGGCCTTTCATATGATTATTAAGAGAATTTTATTGGAATTACCAAGGGCCCCATTTTTATATATATATATAGCTGTACTGTACCCACTATAGACTCAAACATGTACCACAATATCAGTGTGAACAAGGCTGCTAAGTGCGTGCGCACAATTGGTCACTCAGGGTGGCTCGAACCATCAAATCTACTTCTTGCTCTTCTTGCTTGTCTTTTCAGTCTTCTCCTTTTTCTCTTTCTTCTGTTTCTTCTCCCGGGGCTTGACATCAGGTGGGTTCTCAGCTGAGTCCTTCTTGTCGTAGTACTTCTTTGCAGTCCTGCGGGTGTGCATGAAATATGTGAGACTTGGAGATGTATAGGCACACCATTTGAAATATAGGCAGCCCCAACGTTGAAGCAAAAGGAGAATCCAATTGGATTAATTATGAATGCTACCATAAGTGCAGCATGCATATGAACTTAAAGTGTCCTGATTTTGTTCTCGCACGCAGCTGCTTTGGAGCACCTTGGGAAACAAAACTTATTCCCCACCAATATTATTATATGTTCCCAACAAACCCACATCATGAACCATCCAAGAGGGCTGAGTAAGAGACACCATGGTAGCATCGGCCATACGCTGCTCAGCCAAGGAATACCACCTTTGGATTTCAACACTCAGCATGCGTGGTAAACTTTGTCCCTTGGAAAATCAATGAGAAATATAGTTGATGAACACTAACCTTCAATCAGGGGACGATTCTGACTGGAATTTTTCCAGCTCACCTTTCGCCCAAGCTTCGTGGCAAAGGTCATACTGTTTGTCCATCTGCGCTATGTGGCCCTCGAGCTTCTTGATGCACCTTGGAGCCAAGGGAAGGGTTGGAAGACTTGGGGCCAAAGTGCCAAACTTGTCCCCGGCATTTTTCTACCACAAGAATATATATATATATATTGTTTGTACCACTGTTGCAACCAGGGACTCACCAGCAGCTTCTTCGGTGTAGACCTTTTTAAGATCCCGAGCAAGAGCACGGAGTTTCCCACTCTTAGAAGTCACACTTGTGAGGAATCGTTGAAGTGCATCTTTGGTCTCACAGGGGAAAGGTGGCGAACCATCTAGGAACCAGTGGGACTTTGTGGACATATGAAATTGTTTCCACTTTATAGTTGAGAAAATGTTGGCTAGGAAACTGTAATGGCCTGTGCATACTTGTTCAACACTGGCAAATGGGACGACTTGTCTTTCTCGGCAACTTCCCTGCTAGCACGGGCTTCCAGGGCTGCAAAATCAGTACCAAGATCCGACTCAGGAATATGGTCCACCTGCCAGCAAACATGGGTGATAGGTTACCTTGGGAGTGTGGCTAAATTATTGAACATTCGTATGATATATACATGCAATATTTGAGGACATGTTTGTACCACATGTGACTGTGTGTGTGTGTATTCATATATGTGTTGACATGCAAGTACACAGAGAAATCTGACAATACAAGCCTTTTGACGCTTGGTGTGTTCCTCCTCATAACTCGACTCTTCAGTCCTCTTACCGGATTCCTTCAGCACGACCCAATACTCGAGCTCCCCATCATAGGAATTTCGTCTGCAGGGCGGTGCATACACAAGGGTATACATATACCAGTGTAAGGGATGTGTTTGGTAAGTTGGTTGCACTCTCATAGAAGTATACACTGCGCCTGGCATGACTTGGGCCAAGGGCATTGCATCGTGCCTTTGCTCCTTCGATTTTGTTCCTCAATGTGGAGTGAAATGGACTCCCAAGAAAGTAAACTAAGAATTGACACAGCTTGGTTTTGTATATGCATGATCCATAAAAAGTCTAAGAACACTACTTTGACCATCCAAGCTCTTCAAGCTCCGATTCAGAATACCGACCCTCGTCAATGACCAGCTGGTATGTCTTCTTGCGTTTGACTATGATCAAGAGCTGGCTAAAGAATTCATCCTGGCAGTTTGTGGGATCATGGAGGCCTCAAAGAATTGGAGGATCAAATGCCAATAAAAAATCATCGTACATTCAAAGTGAAGGCAATTATCCAAGATGGTTCATGTATAAAATTATATTGACTGTCCTTGTCAAAGTTCACCTTTTCCAACAACTGCGCCATGGCATTCTTGTCACCCTTTTTCCATTCCTCCAACACATATGCTGGTGGGGCCAGTTCCCTTCTCTTTGTCTTAGGTGTGCACATTCGATCGATACGAGCTTTGGCAGCTCGTCTCAAGTTGAACTGCAGGGCCAGGAGACAGGAGTTCCAGGGGCTCTGGGCTTAAGGTCACCAGAACTATATGAGCACTTGTTGATGTATCATGATACCCACAAATATCCAAAGATAGGATATGCATGACATAAATAACATGTGTGTGTGTAATTCTGCGCCTGGCGCAGTGTCCATCCTTTTGGAACATAGGGTGTCTTTGTGTTCAACTTCTTCGCATCCACAAGTGGGGTGTTCGGTTGGGATCGTCGTGACTCTGCATCTGATTCTACAACCTGGGTTGGTGTAAGCGAACTGAAGTGATCCTGTTCCGGTGCCGATGATGCATTGCCATCACCCATGTCCTTATCACGGGAAGAACAATAAGGGATTCAACTTTCCAACATCTTTCAAAAGAATTGTCACAGAATCTTCCTTGAAAAAACGCATACAGCAATGCAAATGTTTTTACATTGTCTAAATAGTAGATATGCAGCTTGAACAAACCTTTGCCGAAAGACGTGTGTGTGTGTGTGCTGTTTGAAAAGCCATACAAATCACATGACAGAACTGTGAATATAAAGAATTGTAAATGATTGTAAATGATATTTAGCCAATGCAGCTTGATGGCACTAACAACTTTGTCAGGGATGCTAGCCCGTTCTTCTTTAGCTTCCTGAAGCTGACTGTCAGTGGCCTCAGGTTACAAATGAAAGGAGATTATTCCCCAAATTTGTGATGGAAGAAATTCAGTAGCTGGCCTGAATCGTCTCTTCAGGACTGGGCTGCTCAGCGTTGGATACCTCAGCGCAACTCAGCGTAAAGACTAGGGGATTGGAATCAGGATCAAGGGAGAATAACGCATATAATTGGAGTTACAAAACATATATACAATAAGAGGTGTATATATATATATATACATATCGCTATATTGTATTTGTGGTCTTGATATGAGCAACCACGGAGATACACATGCATATATTTAATGTGTATATATATATAATATATATATATATATATAATAGAATTGATTTTGAATCTGGGCGTCTGGGTCAATGACCAAAGCATCTGGCGTGTTCTTGGCATCAAGTTGCAGGTTCAGCTCCTGCCAGGTCAAGAGTCACCCAAAGGGATCTTTTAAATTTCCACTCCACCCTTCAGATGTTTTTCACGTTGCTTCTGATGATAAGACTGGAAAATCCAAATATCAGCTGATGTTAAAGAATTGAAGGGTCAGGGGCCAGGGGTCTTATATCAAGTTTGGCTGACCATATCAAAAACAATCAGTAATGTCAACACTTCGACATTTAAGCTCCTCCAACTCCTGAAGAAGAGCAGCCTCTTCGGAATTATCCATGCTAGCCTTGACATGGTCTAGGCCATCCCCTAAGGTGGTACAGCTCCACCTGTTCGATACACCAGGACCATCCAGATGTTTCGACATGTTGGTATATTTTGAATATACCACCCAGCTGTTGTGAAAATGGCTGCGCTTATTTGTTTGCTGAATACTCTTGAGTTGACATAATATCTAAGTAATGCATGACATGCCCACCAATCCAGCTAGTTGTAGCTGCATCTGGCAAAGTGAATTGCACAAGTCCTATCTTTTCTATCAGAAAGCCACTCAGTTAAGGTTCGCCCAGATGCAGGTAATCCTGCACATGTTGATTCCGAATTGAAATTCAGAAAACCTGCAGAGCACTCTTGAATTTAACCGTCTCGTAGCTAGTGACCACGCAACCAGTGGCTATTTGGGGTGATTTGTCTTTATCATTCGAGCCCAGCTGAAACCCATGTAAATTACACGGGTTGGCATGGGTTTATCATGGGTATGTCACGGGTTTGTCACGGGTTGGGGATAACCGAGGTTTTTTGGAGAACCCGAGGTATTTAGTTGATAATCATGGGTTATCACGGGGTTAGCACGGGATAATCACAGGTTTGTCACGGGTATGCTAAGCCCGAATCACCGACCCGAACTTTTTTGTTGAAGTGCCAACAAATCCATCCAAAACATCGATATGTTTGAATTTTGCAGAGGACAAATCCATAATCGAACGTAGGTATGAACAGTAAAGGCATTTGCATCATTCATAGCCCCAAAAAAAGTCTTTTGGTGGCACACTATTCGAGACGATCAGGGATCACCCCACGCCATTCGCAAGGAATGCTCAACTTGCGGTTCCCCCGCAAATAGTTGAACATGTGATGAAACTCGGCAAAATGCCACTCACCCACTTGATCCACACCCGGCCAGCTCTGGAAGCTTTCCAAAGCTGTTGGAACTTCTGCCGGCAGCTCAGGCATACCTTTTGCAGTCCTCTTCATATCCTCTATCAGGTCAACCAGGGCTCGGGCAAAGGGCATCGGATAAATCCTGATGGATTCGACTTGGGCTGGAGGTTTGGATTTATGTTCTTTTCAACATATGCAGATAAAGAAATTCCCAGGGGGGAGCTTGGAGATATGAGAGAGCCCAAAACCTGAAACAAAGTACAACCATAGACCATAGTACAACCATAAACAGTAAACAGTAAACTGATATAATTGACTTCAAGGATCTCAGTGCGTCGAAGGTTTTTATTTCCCTTCCATCTCTTCACCCCTTTGCGATCATAGTAGGAGTCCGCTGTTTTCACTCTATTTTTTTTGGGAGGACGTTGGTCTTCTCGCAACTTACCTTTGTCTAACCGCAAGACCTCCCGGGAGTTGCTGAATCCATAGTGGCGCTTTGCAGTAGGACTTGAGTAGTGCTGCATCCACCACTTCACCTTCACAACCTTAGTGATGAGGATGATTTGAAGTCAAACATGTTCATCTTTTTTAGATGGAAGGAAATATACATGTCATATCCCATACAAAACCTAAACCCAGCAAGTTGCACTTTTGCAACGGAGGAACAGCCTGGATACCTCCGCACTTGAAAATATTGTTCATCATCTTTCGGAAGACTGGATAAAATTCAAGAACGCTACCAAGAGGTTGTTCTATGGTCCAAGTCCCACCCAGAGCTGTGCACAGAAGCACCAGTGCACACATCCTGCAGGGAGGTCCGCTTAGGTTATAGCTTTAAGTGTGAACCAATACGACATATAAATACACCATATAGTAACATATATATATATTATAGGCAATGGTGGGTGAAAAGTATGTGTGTATAATATATATACATAAATATATAGCATCCAGCATCCATCGGTATTTCTGTACGGAGATGGTTGGTCCCACTCAAGTTGGTATAGGGCTGAGTTGAACCACTTTGTTTGCCAAAACGGTCCTTTCAACAAGGATGTTGCTGATTCGAACTGATGTGTATTCAGTAAACCCGGTACTGCAACATGGTGCACGTCTACTGGTCCCAGCATTTATTTGACATAGGCTCGAGCATTTGATGGCAAAGTGGGAAGCAAAGTCATGCACCCGAGCTCGAAGTAGACTTAGGGTAGCCAACCTGAGTTATGGCAGAGGCAAGCCATATAGGACAGAAACCTTGCAAAGTACCATAATATGTTATGTTGGGGCAGGTCCAGTATAACAATACATCTAACAAAGGAACCCGCTGGGTTAAAACATGCATTGGGAGAGGTACGAAACAAAACTATGTACCTCACAAGTTTCACCTAGCAGCGCGAAACCTGATGCTGAAGTCAGGTCCATAAAGTTACTTTTTCGGTTCTTCGGCTGCTCATTGTCTACCAGATCAAACCGGGCCGCACGGTAACCACAACTGCGGGCCTGCTTTGTCAAGTTTCCAAAGCCCGCAAAGAATTCCAGCTGATCCCATTCCTGCAAAGGAACGGGAATAAAACTGAAAGGAATCATCTTGAATCCGACCACAGTTTTTTGGAACTTGATTGGACAAATTGGTTGATGAATTGATTGCATGTGGGATCGAAAACTTGTTGAAGATGCATACTTCAATTTCAAAAGTTCTTGGGAATTCTGATAACTGAACCCCAGCTTCTGGCCTCAACTATGGCGTAGCTCCAGTAGAGCAAAAGGATTGATGCAACGAACTCCTGCACAAGAATTGGATTGGTAAGTTTGGGGATTAAGACAGCAGATAATCGATGTTGACTCTCTTGCCTTACTACCATCTTCTTTGTATACATACAACATATGTTTTCTATATACGTCACATCTGAAAATTATATCGTTCATTCATATATAGTGGTCTCAACATATACATTGGATCTTTCCTATATACATTGCATATATGGTTTTGCAATCTCATGCCTTGACTGATGAATCATTCCCTGGGGACTCCTGTGGACAACTCAGTTCCCGAAGGCGCCACACAAGCTCATTGATGTCCATCATGGCTTTGAACCCAATGAATCCGTTGGATTGTGGATTTATGTCTTTACACATGCGTTTTATATATTATTCCTTTTGGCTTTTACACAAGGATTGTGCACTAATTTTGATCGCCCTTTATCCCACCGAAGTATGCAAATGATTTTGATAGTCAGTATATGTGAACAACAAATCTTTGACACTGAAAATAACCCTGGCTAGTTGTCGTGGTTTTTCATGTTTTTTTTTGAGAAAGGAGCTTCGCTGGATCAGAAAACACGATGAATCAACTATAAACAAAAAACTCAACAGAATATTATAGCACTGAACCCAGCCAAAGTTTTGGGCAGCTCATCAACTAAACAGGCTAGGGTGCACCCTTGGTCTTCTTCAATGATGACCGTGTCTGCCACAGGTTCCGGGCACCTCCATGCGCCATCGATTTGGCCTCAGAGGAGACCAGCTCGGGATGGACTTGTTGCCATTGGGATTGGTAAGGATGGGATCTCGGGAAAGTGCAGTGCAGTTGGCTCGCTGACTCTATTTTTCACAGCATCGCTAGCCTCAATGTATGGGATATACTGTGATCCTCGAGGGAAGTAAACCATAGCCGTTGGCTTTGTGACCAAGGCCACAAACAAAACACAGATCGAAACACATGTAAACCTTTTAAGTTACTTAGCTGAATCACGTGGCCTTGGCCAACATGGGAAAGATCTGGATCTCCTGCTACTGGGCCTTTAGCCATGATAAATGCCTCATACAACAGGCTTGACAACTTAGGCGTGACAAGTCAAAATGCTGATTTCCAAAGATATATGTTTCCAAATGTGTCCAAAATGTTCACACTATATATAAATGGTAATGGCCCATGGCTATCTATGACCCAGAGCCCTTGATGCAGAAGTAAGAGCCGCAGTACCCTACTTCGAGTGTACTGGTATCCCCAAGATTGCCAAAGTTGTTAGTACAACTTGTGACCCCATGAAAGGCACACAAACTCTGTTTGCGTGTTGCTTTTGCCGATGTTTTCACCGGTCACACCTTTACCTTTGCAACAGCTTTCGAAAGTGCTTCTTTAAGACTTTCGTACATCAAATGCACCTCATCGTCATCAAGGATAGAAGCATCACTGTCCCTGGGTTTCTTGGAAACCTCCTCGATGTGGATCGCCTCAGTGGGGTAAGGTGGAAGAGTACACACATGCACATATAAAATCAATTAACATCATATATTAAATGCAAATTTTGACAAGTACATGACATTTTTTTCTCACACACATTCACAATTTTGCACTACATTCATGCGAGTTGCTAGCATTGAAGCTGCTTTCCATGAAGCTGCAAGTCGAACCAAGAAATTCCCCTTGGTACCCTCCACAGAAAAGTACCCAAAGTCTTTTTTGATTGCCTTGATGTGAAGACCAAAACCGGGGCGTTTGTAGTAGGAATTGTATCGGGTCTCTTCCAAATCTGTGGGGAGCTTCTTTTTCAATGCTGCTTTGTTCTCTTGTGTCAAGTTTGTGGGGTTTTTGATACCCAGCTCACATGCTTCCTTTGCAAAACATGCAATCAGGTTTGCCTGATCCCTTACCTTCCGTGGCACTTCAAACGACTGGGCGGGCACGGTGTCTACCTCAAGTTTTCGTTTCTTCACTGTTGTTTCCTCCTGGTCTGCTGTGCTCTCAGACTTCTTGTCTTTGCTGTGTTTGCTGCTGCTGGCCATGTGATCCTTCTCATCCTCCTGCTGCTTTGCCTTCTTTTTCTCGGGATTCTTGGTAGGTTTCTTGCCGCTTTCCTTTTTGCTGGTGCTGTCCAACTGGCTCAAGGCGCACTGCGACTCCAAACAGGCATATCTGTCAAATGACCGTTGGGGATCCCAGCAATCCCATGTTGTCTCATCCTCCCACTGCTTCCAGTCACCACCCCATTGCCACTTGGCATACTCTTCCCACATCTCCTCAGTCCATCCTGGTCCATCATCCTCCGCCTGTTTTCCTCTCAGTCTTCGTTTGGGTTCAGGTTTTTCCTCTTTGGGGTAATGTCTCTTGTTTTTCTTTGGTTTCATCGGTTTTTCCTCTTCCTCCTCCTGCTCCTCATCATCATCATCCTCGGCTATGGTTTTTTTTCTAGACCCCCCCCTTCCCCGACCACGTCCTTTGCCCCTTCCTTTCTGCTTCTTCATGTTCAGCTGGGACTGACGTTCAAGGTAGGCCTGCAGATGCGACACCACACAAATGAAGATATGGCGATGGAACAAGTACAAAGTGAAGTACAAAGTGAATATATATATATATATAATATAGAACATGTTGTATGGAAACCTGCTATATATAAATAACATGACATGTCAACACTCTAGCCTCGTCATCGCCAGATCCTGATTCCGTGAAGTTCTCCTCCTGATCAAGGGTCTTCTCCTTGGGCGCCGGTGCTTTTCCTGGCAAAGCAGTGGAATCATCCTCTTTAGGTGTCTTCTCAACTCTTGCAGGTGGATCCTCTCCTAGGACTTGTGTCTCACTTCCAGTTTGATCTGCCTTTCCCTGGAACTTTGCGCGTTTTTCATTTGCTGTCGTTTCAGGGGATGGGGCAGGGGCAGCTGGCTCACTGGGCGTTGGGATGTCGGCGACATCCATTGGCTGGGTCTCCACGTTGTCAGCGGCAAAAGGCAAAGCCCGAACTCCTGCCAACACAGGTAGTTGCCACAATTTTGGTGGGTGTTCAACTACAAGTTGGTAGTTGAATTCTTTCCCAGTACTTATCATATAAATCACAGTTTTCTTTGTTGGTAGTTTGCTTACAGGGAGTCCATAACAAGAACATATCAACATTAGCAAGACCATAAGTATACCAAACTCCAGGAGAAAACCAATGATAAGGATTCTTACTGATGCTCCTGCTTGTTGGGGAGTTGCTGGAGGTCTGGCGGAGGCACTCTGACCCTTTCGTTCTTGAATCCTGGGTGTTGTGAGGGATTCTTCTCATAACCAGCGTTGTTTTGGGGAGAAAGAAATAGATTCATCTTGGCCGATAGCCTTTCCCTCTCATGACTGGTATTTCTCCAAAAGCACACACAGAATTTATACCCAAAAGATCCCAAAAGATTATGTGATTATATGCATGCACAATTTTAGAGGTATATTTACACCCAACGACTTAAAGACCCTATGCAACTCAGGAACTCTTTCAACTTCTGAATCACCGCTTGGCGTCTTTGTTCCAAATCGGTGGTATCACCTTTGATTCTTCCAAAGAAAACGTGGAAGAGTCATTGAAGAACTGATGCAAGAAACTAGCAATGATATATCTATATACACTGTATATATGACTAATTATGACTTGTATTTTGTAGCAGCCTAAGCTGAACTGAAACACAAATAAGGACAGTACTGCTGCCTGCGCTGCTGCTGCTGCCTTCTCCCTTCGCAACAGGGACTTTGCTGGCAACATCATCTCCCTTACCTGGGCGTGCAACTGGTGGCTCCATTGGGTGAGGGGGTACTCCTGTATCTTCTCCACTGTTGGCAGGACCTGTCTCCTTTTCCTCAACCTGCTTTTCCTGGTTTCCTGGGTCATTCCTCTGCTGCTGATCATCATCATCATCATCATCATCGGAATCTGATGATTCTGTTGATTCATCATCCCAAGCATCCTCATCTTCAGCCACTTCGGCCTGAAAAGGAAGATAAATCAAAACATGAGGAGGGTCCCAGGAGATTTGAAGCACAGAACAAAACGAAGCGAGGATATCAAAACTGAAACCCAGGGTGAACAGTCAGAGTCAGACCATACTTGTGAAAAAAACAAAGGACACGACACATCCCCATCCTTGTGGCCCCTCTTCCTGCGACGTTCCGCAAGCTCTGCATTCACTCTGTCACAGTCTTCCTGCATCAAGGTGGCTGGTTATTTGGGTTTCGTTTTTCTTGATTGGGACGGAAAGGTTTCAGGGAAAGAACATTTTGCACATATAGGTCCTATGGTTATTAAGACTGGAAAGGCCCAAGCTCAAACATATTAATACACAACTCCAACTGTTCCCTGGCCTGTAGCAAAGGGTCCAGCACAAGCACCAAACTCTGGAAAGCTTTCACCTTAACAACAGGGTAAAGAATGCCGAGGTTTGTATAGAGTCCCAAAAATGGTCAGCTATGTGTATATGTGTGTGTGTGTGCGTGCACATATGGATACGCACGTGTGAATTTTCCTGTGAAAAATACATGATATGTTTTTATGAAAGAGATGTGAATGCACACGTATGTACATGCATGAATGAAGGACATGAAAATGCAATGTTTATTTGCAAACTAGTTGCTGTGGAAACTTCACGGCGTCGGGCTTTCATTTTGATGAACCCGCACAACTTCCGCAGGGCCCAACCACACTTTGGCACGTCTACACCCTCCGTATCTACCCCACGTTTGTTTTTTCGTAGGAGTGCTTCAATTTCTTCCTTCAATTGGTCTATGCTCGGGACTGTTCTTTTACTGTCAGAACTCATACGAGCAAGCAAAGGGGTTAGGAGAATACTGTTCTTGATACATGTGGTGATGTCCTGCCCCGCTGGGGTGGGCAGCACTGGTCCTCCCTCCCGCAAGCGGTCACGAAGCTCTTCGGAGTCATCCCACTCTTTGAACACATTCTCTATGTTGGTGAACCCCATGGCTTCAAAGGTAAACCCAAATACAGTGCCAAAATGGCTGCGATAACCACTGATTCATCGTGACACAAATCATGACCCTGCAAATTTGATTGCATTTCTTCCCCAATCTAAATGATTCTTTTCCAGAATGATTCAAAAACACCTCCTGGCCACTGGATGACTCTGCCCTTCCAGGAGCTTGGAACTTGGATACCCGACGCATTGTGCGCGTTGCCGCAAAACCATTGCTGCCCGTGGCGCCGGGCAGTGGCTGCTGATGGTCCATCAAATGTTTTTTTTTTAAGGCTGTTGTGCATTATAATTAAACATAAAACAATATAAGTTTATGCATCCATACATCTCTAATATTCTCTAATGTATCCATGTTCCAATCCAAAACATTTCAAGATAACTTGGGCGATAGAATTATATAGTTGAAAGAAGAAACAGTGAAACCTTATAAATTTACAAAGGGCATCAAGAAACATTTTCATTTGGGCGGATCATATCAAACTATTGCCCAAAAACGTGTCCCACATATTTCAACATACATGGTTTCTGTGATAAGGCACCTACGGGCCCTTTATTTTGGATTTGATTGGATCCCATTCTTTCGATTGTGATCTTAATTGTATATTTATAGGATATTATATCATAAGTAGGTCCCACCAACATGCCGGCTAACACTACTAAGCCAAGCTCCACCAAGTTGACAACCTGGACTAGGCAGGATTCGAAGGACATGTTGGGAAACCCGAGGTTTTACATGCAAACACGAGGTATTTACTATCATCATGGGTAAACCCAAGGTTTCACTTCAGACCCGACAAATTCTTAGGGTTTGGACGCTTAGGGTATATATACAAATATCGATTCGGTTGAAGGTTGGCAAGTCCATTTTGGATGCTCTTTGGTAGTTTACATCCATGTCATGTTTGTCCGAGGTCCAGATCAATGGCAATGCTCTGAACTTCGCGGTTGCCTGGAACAAGTCAGGCGCTGAGGGAAAATCGGACTTGAGGTCAAAATGATGTCGTTCAATCGGACATATTTCGCGATGTTTCACTCGGCAAGACGTCCCACTGGTTTTGCCGTTGTTCTGATGAAGGTAAATTATTGCAATGCTATGTGCGTTGGTCAAATTCTCTACCCGGCTCAAATGTTGACTCATCACTTAATTTTTCTGCTTCAACTGCCAGCCAAGCCCATCACAACTGCAATCAAGTTGAGGCTCTAATGCACATCAAAAACCATTGCTTTGGGGTACACCATTCTGGCTAGACCATGCTAGACCCACACAAAATGAAAAACGTTTGGGAGCAACAAACCGCCAAAGTTAAACATGACCAAACAACTATCTGAACGCCGTGGTACTCCATTCACCAGTGGTGACCCTTCAAATCATTCGGTTCAACCTCAAAACACGATGGCCTCGTTTTTCCGGAGAAAACAGACAAAACGACAAGCCAGAAATGTGTCCAGACATGTGGAAAGCAAACTCAATGGCTGCCTTTTTTTTTGGTGCAAGCAAGCAATCAAGGAACTCGAAAACACCGCCTGCGATGTGTGAAACATAAGTGAAACATCGAACGAATTATTCCAATCAAAGCAAACATTGTTAGCCATGGATGGTCGGTTTGTGTGACCTTGAGCTATTGCAGGTAAACTAAATTGAATACAAATTGACATTGCCATTTGTATTCAATTCCAAACACAGTTTCCTTTGATATTTCCACCGGCTATTGATTCTGCCTCTACAAGCCTCAAAGAATAAATACTGGGATGGGAACAGAAGCAAAGCACAGTCCGTGGTGTCCATACACAGCTGCCGCTGCATTCACCAGTGGTTCCACCGCAGAAACCAAATCGCTTACTGTAAATCTTTGAGCCTTTGACAGATTTCAGTCTTTGGTTTCTTCGTGAATGCCTGTCTGAGAAGTCTATGAATGTATGAATGCACGCTTCAATGCCTTAGGACCAGCCTTCAGGGAGGGACTCTTCGAGGCTAGCTGAGTGCCGATTCAGGTTTGCATGCCAAAGTGCAGGCATTCGTGCAAACAGCCCTTATCACTTTGCGGCGCTACATGTAGGTTTGTAGGATTCAGGCGAGCATGGAAGTCTCGACAGACCTTGCTGAACTTGCTGTGGCGGGATGAATAGGGCTGCTTTGGCCGGTTAGCAAATGAGTGCTTCGATGAAATAGTATCAAGAAGGCTGCTGTTTCTGCTTCATGCGTTACTCATTACCGTGATGTACTGTGGAAAGATATGTTTTTCCATTCATTCTATGCATAATGAAATGAATTGATTTGGCTAATATACCTTTCCTATTCAACCTCAGCACATTCGCCTTAGAGAATCAGCTGACTCGATCAAAGAGTCTGCGCCTAGTTCTGCTCAACTAGCAGCCACCATTGCAGTTGGATTGTCGAGCAGCTCATGCGGATGCGAAAAGCAAACCAACAACCACATTTTCTTAGAGCAGCATGCAGCAGTGTCGCTTAATTTGCTCCACGACAACCAAAGCGACAAATGATACAAATGTGGGCTCAAAAGACAGGCACGCTCTGAACAGGCTTTTGAATGGATAGAAAGAGTTGAAGGACGTGAAATTGAACCCCCAGAGATTAGCACCGTGATATACTGAATATGGGAAAACGTTCCAAAAATACTTCAGTTTTCTGTGGAGGAGGGGAGTGGTACTGAACGGTGACATTTTTTTTCCCCGGACCCGATTTATTGTATCGGGCGGAAAAAGTCAGTTGTTTTTTTCAGGATGCAAACGAAAACAAGGCCACACCACTTGCTATTCCTCGAGCCCAACTATTTTAATTCCTTTATTCTGAGTAGGATGAAAACATTTGAAACACACCACCCAGATATGAACGCAATTGTTGGGATGGTATTGAAGGCTGTCAAAGACCTTCCTGATACATTTTTTGGTTTGTAAACCTCAAGAGGCACCAACCCTTCACTGTTTTTTCCCCACCTGCTTGGTGTGCAGCTCCTCCTTCCTTCCTTCCTTCCTCCCTTCCTTCCTTCCTTCCTTCCTTCCTTCCTTCCTCTTTCCTTCACTCGCTGCTATCCCTCCCGTCGTCTTACTGCACGGTGAGCGCCGGACACCATAGTGCGAGCTCCGGACGCAGTGGGGCGCGCCGCGACCCGAGCAGATTTTTAGATAGAAGGCCATAAAGTGCCAGATAGCATTGTCAGAACCCATGTCAGATAGGATATCAGAAAGAACGTCAGAATAGGATGTCAGAATAGAATGCCAGAATGAATGGCCTGAAGATATGCCAGGTAGAATGCCAGTATATGTGCCAGTATATGTGCCAGAAAGACTGTCAGAATATATGCCAGACGGAATGCCCGAAAGAATGTAAGCACAGATGCCAGAAAGTATGTCAGAATGGATGCCAGATGGAATCCCAGAAAGAATGCCAGATAGAATGTCAGAGTATATGCCAGACAGAATGTCAGATAGAATGTCAGAATATATATATATTATATATATGCCACATATACTTCCAGATGGTATATCAGAAGCTATGTCAGAATATCGTGTCACGGTGGGGATCACTCGAAGTAAAGTAATTTTCGTATCTTATGTAACTTATGTACCACCTTTCCAAAGACTGCTAATGTTTCCAGGGAAGATCTGAGGGAAAAAAGGAAGGCAGAAAGGAGTCAAGGAAAGAAAAAAGGAAAAGAGAAGGAGCAATTCAGGAAGAACAAACAGGGGAAAGTAAGACAGGCAGACAAAGAGAAGGAAAACAGAAAAATGAAGGAAAAACAGAAAAAACTTGACGCAAGGGATGGAAGAAGGAAGGAACAGCAAAAACATGATTCAGTGTTGACAAAAAATTACTCGAAAACCTTTCACTCATCACCCAATGAAATCCCATGAATGGGGAAGTAAGGCACTTTGAATGGACCATGACTTCCCACACCCAAAACCAAAGGAAATCAAAACACCAAAACGTTTTCACTCGGTGCTCACCATTATAAGCGCACGTGGTCCGTTGAAACAGAGGACCCCAACGCAGTCATTATCCATGCGCTGCTGCAGCGGGCTCTTCACGCTTGAAAACGGATTTCACAGCTACAGTGTTTAATTTTGCAAAACGCAACGAACTATTTCCTCCAGTTGCAACCCACCGCAGCATACTCTGACTAGTGGTTTGAGGCGGTTGCAAGACATACCTGAAAAGGGTAGGTGGGCTTTTGTTTTCCTCCTGATTGGAACCGGATATCAAGCTGTGAAGAGCTACAACAATTTACTGTACACAATCGGAGACATTCGCCATGATGTCAATGGCGCATGATTGGCGCCCATGCACATGGTGGGTAAATGCCCAGCTGGAAGCATGGATGCTTCTTGGCCGAGTATTTGGTATGGTTTATTCGTGTTTATTCAGTGGGTGTGAACATCTCTTTGTCTCCTTCTCGCATGCAGTTCTTCTGTGTTTTGAGGCATATCCAGCCTGCTGTTCAACTTTTGCTTGTCGCACAGCTGGCACAGCGGCTTGCTGAGCAGCTGGATTGCGAAACGGGCAACTGCCAGTTCCAGTCTTTGAGGCCAGCGTGCCTCCGTCAGACTCCCAGCTTCAGAAACTCCTGTCCCAGAGAATTCTTTGTGTTTACACATTTTAACCATGTTCAGAATGCAAGGTGTTCAATGCCTCGACGAATGTTTGAAAGAGCGTGGAACTCAGGAAGTCGCGAAATTATCAGATAGTTAACATCATGACCTTTCAATCCTTGTTCCAGTCTTCATCGATTCCTTGTTACTTTTTTGATCATTTGAGCCTTCACACATTTCTCATCATTTCTCCTTTGACTGAATGAAGACAAATAGTCATGGGCGAGATTGCCAGTGAAAGTGAAAGGAATCCGACTCTTCAAAATCCTGAATATGTTGACACCAGCCCCCCAACGGCTGATGTCCACGCCATTGCTTGAACCTGCTGCATTGCATGCCTTGCCTGTGGGATCCTTCCACTGAGGACCTTGTTCCAGTGGCTTTCACAGAGAAGGAGTCTGACGCAGACAAGAACAGGCTTTGGGCCGGCGGCTTCAAGATTCAAAACTGACTCTTTGTGACCATGTCTCAGTGAGAAAATTACCAGACACCAAATTTCAGTCAACGGCATATTGGAGGACTTTTGAAGACCATTTGTGACATAATTGTGAGTCAAGCAGCTGGCTCCTGCAGCATAACAACTGCGTCCCTTCCGAACTGCGTTTCTTCCGTGCTCTATGGCTGCCGGGTTCAGGCGAGACTCATGGGTTACGAAGGTGCCTGAAGAGGGAGATGACTTGGAGGAGTTTGAGGAGTCTGACGAGTGTCAGTGGTTCGATGACAGAGTTGGTGGCGTTGCCCAGGCAATTTGCACAGTTCATGCAAGAGTCCAGTGTGGCGACTGTTCTCAAGTTTTATCAATGGCTGTAGTATGCTGTAGTCTTGCATTCCAAATCCAACTTAAATGTGGCTGCGATGCAATGCTTGATCTATCGCCATCAAGCCACGAGATCAGTCAGTTGCCCGATATTCCGTGTGTTTTGGTTGTCGTCTCCACGTTACCTGCATCTTTTGCTTGACCGACCCAGGCATCTACACAGCACTTTCTTGAGATAAAGCCTAGAAATTGTGGCCAGACTATGAGTGTTGCTGTAGTAGCGAATGACACGACAATGCTTTGTTCTGCTTAAGCCGTAGATTTTCAAATCGTGGGCTCGACCTGGGAAACGGCACAGGCACAGGAAAGGTTGCTCATGACTGACTCCGAGGAGAATCTGGAGGCGACGATATTACCCTGTTAGGCTGCTAGGCTGTTAGGCTCAAGGAAGGTTCCATTTGATACATTTTGATACAACATGAGCTGCCTCTATACATCAGTTGAATGCAGCGGCGTTGCAGATGTTGTATACACAACGGAGGTCAATTTTGCGAGGTGCATAGTTGCAAAGCAAATCTGAAGCTCAATGAAAGGATACAGCATACATAGCCTCTTTGTTGAGCCCAGAGGCATCTCCGACCTTTCACCATCTGATGCAGCTGTATTTGGGTAGTATTATTATAGTATTGGTGTTGTAAGAAAAGTAGACTGTGACTATGACAGACAATGTCATACATTGCGAGAGTTCCGCTAGGCACCACTATACTATACTGTATTATATATATATATTGTATACAATAGAGATAGGACACATGCATTTTTCTTCGGTCGTTTTTGGAACTGTTTTGTTGCAGACGGCTTCCAATTTTGGTTGGATTTGGAGGGGCACTGCATGTTGCACGTGTGGTGGGAGAGGTTAGGTTTGCGGTACAGCTTGGAAAGACGCTCGAGTTGGTGTTTCTGGTTAAGTGGGTGATGTACCAAGGAGCTAGAGGGTTTGGTTGAGCTAGGTGGCGACGCCACAGATGTTCGACATCAGCAGTGATTTGGACGGCGAGTCCGAGGTGCTCACACCGGGCAGGTCTTGGTCGAGATAGGAAAGTGACCCAAAATTCACCTGAATACACAAGTTTGACAGGTAGAAATGGGTGCCTTTCAGATCCTTTCAGAAACTTGAGCAAAGTTTGAGGTACAGCTTTGAAAAGCAAGTGAGTTGGTGTTTCTGGTTAAGTGGGTGAGGTACCAAGGAGCTAGAGGGTTTGGTTGGGCTAGGTGGCGACGCCACAGATGTTCGACATCAGCAGTGATTTGGACGGCGAGTCCGAGGTGCTCACACTGGGCAGGTCCTTATTTCATGGTATTTCCATGTTTTTCCCATCAGGGCAAAGGCAAAACATGATATATGGACTCTGTCCAGTCCACAGGTTGGTTGCAGGTGAAGAGTGCGTAGCATGGTCTTGGTAGTCAATGGATGTCAATGGTATATATGTTCCAGGTTCCAGGTCCCCCCCCCTCCCATGGTCATGGTCCCCAGCTTCCCCCCCCTCTGGTGTGGTGTGGTATATATATATATATGTATAAATAATGATGGTCAGTTGTGGTCCTATCTCAACACTCTATGCCATGATGAATGACAGAGCTGCAAATTGTTGGTCATGTGCATCGGTTTCCAAGCCTCTGGAGGAGCCGGTTTTGCCGGAGATGCCCTTCGCTCCCCCTGAGGGGGATTACGGCGATGACAGTGAGACGACGGAGCACCTAGAGCAGTTCAGACACGAGCAGGGCAGGGATACATTGGTATCTGCTTCTGGCTCCAGTGGATCTTCGTATCAGGCAGGGCAGATGTTCATGGGGACTTGGCGGCCCAAAGGCGGTATACGGTATACTATACTAATCTATACTACCTGTTTTTTTTTGAAAATTTAGGACCCCGTATGGGGCAGGAAACCTGTATCAACAAACCCGTGAAAAGGGATGAGAGAGGGTTTTCACTGTGCTCAATTGCCATTTCCGACTTTAGGGGTTTGGAAAGGAAATCTAATGAAGGCCAACGAAAGGCCTTTGGATTTTGGACCTTGGTGCATAAACGAGAATCGTTACTTCAATTATTTCAGATTATTTCCATTTTTTCCCATCAAGAAGGAACATGAAGGCCAAGCAAAGTTCACAGGTTGGTTGCAGGTGAAGAGTGCGTAGCATGGTCTTGGTAGTCAATGGATGTAAATGGTAATGATGGTCAGTTGTGGTCCTATCTCAACACTCCATGCCATGATGAATGACAGAGCTGCAAATTGTTGGTCATGTGCATCGGTTTCCAAGCCTCTGGAGGAGCCGGTTTTGCCGGAGATGCCCTTCGCTCCCCCTGAGGGGGATTACGGCGATGACAGTGAGACGACGGAGAACCTAGAGCAGTTCGGACACGAGCAGGGCAGGGATACATTGGTATCTGCTTCTGGCTCCAGTGGATCTTCGTATCAGGCAGGGCAGATGTTCATGGGGACTTGGCGGCCCAAAGGCGGTATACGGTATACTATACTAATCTATACTACCTGTTTTTTTTGAAATTTTAGGACCCCGTATGGGGCGGGGAACCTGTATCAACAAACCCGTGAAAAGGGATGAGAGAGGGTTTTCACTGTGCTCAATTGCCATTTCCGACTTTAGGGGTTTGGAAAGGAAATCTAATGAAGGCCAACGAAAGGCCTTTGGATTTTGGACCTTGGTGCATAAACGAGAATCGTTACTTCAATTATTTCAGATTATTTCCATTTTTTCCCATCAAGAAGGAACATGAAGGCCAAGCAAAGTTCACAGGTTGGTTGCAGGTGAAGAGTGCGTAGCATGGTCTTGGTAGTCAATGGATGTAAATGGTAATGATGGTCAGTTGTGGTCCTATCTCAACACTCCATGCCATGATGAATGACAGAGCTGCAAATTGTTGGTCATGTGCATCGGTTTCCAAGCCTCTGGAGGAGCCGGTTTTGCCGGAGATGCCCTTCGCTCCCCCTGAGGGGGATTACGGCGATGACAGTGAGACGACGGAGAACCTAGAGCAGTTCGGACACGAGCAGGGCAGGGATACATTGGTATCTGCTTCTGGCTCCAGTGGATCTTCGTATCAGGCAGGGCAGATGTTCATGGGGACTTGGCGGCCCAAAGGCGGCCCAAAGGCGGTCCAAAGGCGGTATACGGTATACTATACTAATCTATACTACCTGTTTTTTTTTGAAATTTTAGGACCCCGTATGGGGCGGGGAACCTGTATCAACAAACCCGTGAAAAGGGATGAGAGAGGGTTTTCACTGTGCTCAATTGCCATTTCCGACTTTAGGGGTTTGGAAAGGAAATCTAATGAAGGCCAACGAAAGGCCTTTGGATTTTGCAATTTTACAATCTCTGAAGGGAATAGATCAGACATAGAATCTGTCCAGTCCACAGGCTGTGGGTGATGTGGTCTATTTTTTTGCGATGTTGGAAAAACTGTATTTGCTAAAAGGGTGAGGGCCTGGCTTTTCTCTTGATACAAATGGCACTTTTTCTATGGTTGGCATTGATTTCTGACAGTTTTCTCCATTTGAAGTTCACTTGCATGTCTTGCCAGGTGATCCCAAAGGCCTGGCCCAGTAGGGTTGTCAGAGGTTCGATAAAGTTGCGAATTCCTGCTAGTTTGTTGGGCAGTATGTCGAGTTTTGTGCCTACACCAGATGTTTGTTTCTTTTCAGACTTTGCAGAGATCATTCTCCAAGAATGCTTTCAGGTACGAAGACCATGTGTATGGATTCACGGCATTCCATTTGAAGCGAAGACCGAGGCCAGTTTTTTTTGCTCATTTTATCATCCATGTCGGAGACTTCGGTTGTGTGTCCAGTGGTCAGGACTTCGACACTGGGTGGGAGTACCTCTATGACGGTCTGGTTTGCCCTGAGGCGGGTGCTCTTTGAAACGATTTTAGGATCAGAGTCAGCACAGAAGGTGGTATTCCTCAGATTTGGGGAGCTTCCCGAGTCAGAGTTTTCCAACTAGAGATACCAGAGTAGACAGTTTCTGGTGGGCGTTGATTGATTTGGATGATGTTGTTTTTCTTGAAGGGCTGTTGGTCTGTAGCCTTCAAAGGCCGCATAAGATTCATCATGTTTGCATTGTGTCGTTTTCTTGGTTGTTTCAGCATCTTGCGAAGTCTGCACCCTTTGGATTCTGTTGGTGAGATTTCCTTGCTGGCACCATTGCCACATCCTGCAAGGCAGAGACAATCATGAAAGTTCAGGAAGCAAGGCATGATGCAAGGCATGATGCAAGCCATGGAGTGCTTTTGTTGATTGTGCATAGATTCATGTTTGAATCAAGAATGGATTCGGTAGTTTGTGCGTTGGTGGTCTCAATCATACCAAAGACTGAAGATGTGAAACTTGAAAGAGTGCAGGCTGGCCGAGGACTCTCTGTCCTCAGTTCCTTTGCAGAATGATGGCAGACTGAAACGCTTGGTGTGACTTCGAGGGCTTGAGACATTAGAAGTCTCTGTTCGAACATGAGTTCCTTCCAGTGTAGACAGATCATCATCATGAGCAGCGAGAAAGAAGTTGCTTCTTGCTGAGGATATTTCTTCATCTCCTCGGCTTCCTACCTGTGACTCAACTTGTGAAGAGTGCCGCAAATTTTGGTGTAGAAAAATCCACCGGCCGTCTGTCGTTCAGCATTGTTCAACATTTTCTTTGGCAGTTTCTTTGGCGGTTTTGTTCAGTTTTCCTCTGCTTTCCACAGATATGAATGCTCTGACTTGGTGTGATATGCAGACCGAGCCCAGGTGACCGAAGTGTTAGAGTACAACCTTCAAGCAGTGTCACGCAACTTTTCGAGTCGCGAGGCACGAAGGATTCCAACATGTTCCGACGCAAGCCGGGAGGGACATGATGAGATCCTTCTCTGCATTCTGACTGTCAAAAGAATCCAAGCTTGAACAGGTTTGGATGACCCACTTGTTCAACTTGTTGGATTTCGATTCATTCCAGCCTGTCACTGGCATTCCGCCACTTGGCTGCATTGCGGGAAATTCTCTTGCTAGTTGTTTTGTGTTTGCCCTTCTTCGTCACCAAGACAATCTATGAGGTCGGAAGGTGTCAGAGGTTTTTGCTTGTGGAAAGAAAAGATAAATACTGCATGAGCTCCACTTTCTGGTTACGTCTCTATCCCTTTCGAAATTTGCTTTTGGTTCACTGTCTTTCGCTCGTTCGATTTCTCTCCTTCCCGTTGCTGCCCCTTTCCCTAGCTTTCTTTCTGCATTTTCTTTCTTTGGTCCCTTTCTTCCTTATGGAGTGAATTGAGCAAGGGTTCCCCTATGCATAAGTGAGGGTAAAGAACAAAAATGAGCAAAATATCCACAGCTCCCAGCTCGCAACCATCCGCGTGGCTGTTACTATGTGAAGGTGGCCATTCCAAGGGCCCAAGACTTTGCTGCGCAGTGTGCATGTCGTGTGAATATCTAAATTTCTTGGCAGGCGCGGCAGTCAGACGTGTCTTGTGTTGCCACTTGTTGTGTGAACCGTGTTGTCGGGGCGGCGCAAAGGAGAAAAGACACCTGGGCCGTTGTCACGTCCATGTAGCATGGTAGGCGTACCATTTAGGACATGTTGCCTTGAACGTCAACCACTTTCCCCCTTTGACACAACCGTGCAGGTGCGTTTCACAGCAGCTATCATTTTGATATATTTTGAATTATTTTGATTCATTCTTTTGTGCCAGGTGCAGTAGGGACATATTCACGTGACCGCGTGACCTTCCACTGCTTCCTGCCTTGTCATTCCTGTGCGGACGTGCTTGATAGCTCATCATACTGGTATCATAGTATATCCATTTATATCCTCGTTTTCAAGATGAAGGGCGGGGGAGTACTTCAACGAATGTGTTATTTCGGCGGAAGAGTGCTGAGGAGGAAGGTTGTCATTCAAGAGTCTCGCAAAGCGAGTTCCACGAGTGTTTGCAGTGCAGTTTGTGCCTAGGACGGCCCCTGTGTGGCATCCAATTGAAGAGTTTTCGGCTTTTGCCCGCATTGCTGCCAAGTGCACAGACAAGTCTTTGTCCACCAGAGAGAGAATTACTTCTCCTCCTGTAGCGCAATTTCGCGCCGAAGCTTCAGAAGGGTTCCAAGGTGCGGGTTGTGTCGCACGGATCTGCGCTGAAATTGCTTAGCACCAAGAAGTGTTGGTGATTCCCACAATCATCAATGATCAAATCAGGATTGAAAGGAAACATATCCGGAAAATGCACAGAAGGGATCAGCAGAATGTCCTTTGAGTGGTGCAATGATGTGCAATGTTACATTTGTTTTTGACTCTGTTTGCTCCTGGAATTCGTGTGTTGCTTGCCCTGGGAGGCTGCTTCCAAGCCTTATGCGGCCCGTGGGCTAAGAAGCTCCAAGGCAATTATCTTGCCCATGTCAAGTTGGTGAGGAAGAAGGGGGACGCTCGTTTCTTAGGAGACCGTTGAGTCAAGACGCAGGCAGTTTTTGCCACCAAGTCTGCATTTGTATGATAGTACTACTGCATATGGTATGGGGATTTTGGGTTGCCTGGTCAGATTACCAAAAGGCAGCGAAGCTTGACTCACCTAACAAGTCTACCTCCAAGTTGATTGACAGCATGCACAGACTTTAGTAGACCAGCAAACCGCTGAATGTGATGATGTCTACGCCAACGCGACAAATGCGGACCCAAAAGACAAGCGCTCACTGAGCAGGCTTTTGGAAGCTTGCAAAATCACGATGTTCAAAGAAAGAATTGCAATGTAGTTATCGAATTCTTCAGAAATTGATCAATGTCCTTCTGCAATTGGCTCAGACAACGGAAATCTGCCAAATCCACGTCAGCATGGATGCCATGGAAGTGGTGACCGATGTGTTCAAGGAGGGAGAGGACGAAAATGTGCGGGTACTCAGGGATTTTGTCTTGTCAGTTTTCGCGAAAGCCAGCTTGTGCTGGCTGAAGTTGCTCTTCATTAGCAAGCCGGCGGATTTTGCTGATAGGATTTCTTGCTAGTCTTAATGGTTCAATCCACCTTTGGATATTTTGTATAGTTGGTTCCCTCCCCAGTTTGCTGCTCGAATCCAGATTTCTGGCTGCATTTCCTGCTGAGGCTCGCGGAGCCAACGCAGATGATGAGGCAACAAATGAGAGCTATGAATATGCTTCGGGAGAGGAAACTCACGTCTCCTTCCTAAAATTGAACCACAATTCCAGGATTGGTCGAAGATTTCTATTTTTTTGAATTGGACCACTAGTAACTAGCAGCAGATAGCAGGCTTACAATGAAAAGAAAGATGAGATCAAGTTCAGATTCTTTTTTTCACGGATCGACCAACGACTCAACTAAACCCAAGGCAAGATGTTGGTTGACAGGACAGGATATTGATATGCAATATAGAGGAAGTGCACTTTGACAACGTTTGCATTCCATCCTCTTCGCAAACCATGGCGGCAAAGGTCAATAGCCCAGAGTCACTTCCAAAGAAGACGAAGGCTGGAAGGGTTTGCAGACCTTCAGCCTTGTTGTTGTAGAATGGATTGGACCTTGTGTCACTGTCAAAGTTTTCATGAATTGAGAAGATGGGCTATGTGAAAAGATGGGCAACTGCAGAAAGGAACTGTTGTTATCCCAGATGCGAAGGACTCCGATCAACAGCAAGCAAGTGAAGCTGACGCCGGTCCAGAGACTGTTCAGGCGGCAGTTGGGCCCTGAACTTTGCTACACCCTGTTTTCTCGGTGCAAAGATATTGCAGAACAATGCAGATCCAATATCCATGTGTTGATTTGTGGATCAAGCAGTGTGTAGTTGATATATGTGATATATGTCGTGTGTAGAGAGCCAAGGGATGTTTTTGATATCTAAGAAATCTATTGAAATCTGTCTTCACTTGTCTCCCAATTCAATTGTCTCCCAGACTGGCTGGTGGTGTCCGGCTCTCCGGACGTCTGTTTTCACTTGTCTCCTAATTGATCACAGCTAGCTTCTGCTAGCTCAAGTCCCTCTTGCTTTAGCAAGATGTTGTGTGGCTGGAATCTCCAATCGCATGAGGCCTCATAGAGGCACGCCTGACATGTGCAACGATAGTTCTCAGGGCGTCCCTGCTGCACCTTCTGCTGGACCGGCAGCAGTGCAACAGCCAGTGGCAGCTGCTTTTGGAGGAGCCTCTGCAACTCGTTTGCAGAAGGAACGAGCCGTGACTCGAGTCAATCATTGATACCCCCCAATGGGTCTCAAGTCGCCGCAAAAAGATGCAAAATCTGTTTCTGGCAACACGTCAATTTAACGAAATCTAGCTGCATTGTGCTTCTTTGCAGACTCACAAGTGTTTCTTTTTTCGGCCTTTGCTGACTTGACCTATGGAAATGATGCACCTCGTTTCTATGGATTGCCCAGATGGACTGCCATTTTGTATGTCAATGTGAACGCATTTGTTACAAAGTCATACTCTTGTTCGCACAGGGTTTTCCCAGTGTGCTTGTGGTGCCGGGCTCTCCAGTTGTTTGTTTCATTTGCCTCCCTTCATTTGTCTCCCACTCTGGCTGGTGGTGTCCGGCTCTTTAGATGCATCTCTTTACTTGTTTCCCTTCATTTGGCCCCTTTCTGGCCGGTGGTATCCGGCTCTTTGGACGTATTTCTTCCTTTGTCTCCCTTCATTTGTTTCCCACGCTGTCTAGTGGTGTCTGGCTCTCCGGATGTCTTTTCCGTGCTTTAACTTGTCTCTCATCATGTGTCTTTCGCCATGTGTCTCCGAATTTACCAGTCTCCCGTAGTCTCGCAATAAATTTTTCTCCAGTCATCGTCTGCCTTAGTGGTGGTGTCCGGCTCTTTCGCCTGTTCGCGTTTGTGTGTCATCCATCATTTGTCTCTCACTTTCTTTCCCGTACTTCATCAGTCTCCGAAGTCACTTGTCTCCAATCATATGTCTGCCTTAGTCGCGGTGTCCTGTTCTAGTTTCATCATGATTTTATTTGTGTTTCGTGCTTGTCTCTTTTCTTTACTCCCTTTGTGTTTTCTTGTTGTCTCAAGATACTGTAAATTCATGTTCCACCATGGTTTCTAGGCGTTTTACCACTTGTCTCCCACTTGTCTCCTATCTTGTCTCCCTCTTATTGTCTCAGATACAAATGCCATGGCAACAAAACGAAACCATGTGGCACGAAAAAATGCGTGTGATTCGTGGTCTTTCCAATTGACATGCATCAGGACTTAGTTCTATGGGAATTTCAGGATCCTAAAATGGAGGTACTGTACCATATAATATAAGGCCATATTTTGTGGGGATATTCCCTTACATAGGCCTTATATATGGTACGTACCTCCAATTTAGGTTCCTGAAATGGTCATTGATTAGTATAACCACAAACATGCACGCAGACGCTGCACTGGATATGGACAAACTGACTAACTGTTTGGGGTCTCCGGGGGTGTAATTTGATATCTTTGAAAGCAGAAGATGAACCATATTGAGAGCCAAACACTCCACTCAAGGTGTTGAGCACAGAGCAAACCTGAATGTGGTTTGCAAGGGAGAGCCAAGTAAGCAAAAGAGCATCCTTTCATTTTTTCTGAACAGATGTGAAGAGGGAAAAACGGGCTTTGATTTGCTTTAATCGGTGGCCCAGGCATTCTCTGGGTTTTGATCTGTGGCGCTTGCTCTGTCCTGGCCAACCCACCCGCATGGCCGGCTAAGACAGGGCAAGCACCGCAAGCCAGGGTCAAACCCTGGAGAATGCCCAAGCCGCGTCCTGTTTCAGTCGTTTTCAATTTCCAGGGATGGCCAAATACACCAACGGCAGAAACAGAGACAAAACTTCGCACAATGCATGATTTTGTTGAGCAAGTCTTTGTGTTGCTGTATCTGTGAAGTACAGATAGGGGCTGCATTAATGTTGCGTTACAGCAGATCCCGCAGCCTGAACTTTTCCCACCACCCTTGCTCTGTGTTTTGATAGAGTGAAGAGACCTAAATAGGTTCCCTTTCACAAAGATCACTCTGCCAGAGTCATCGCCATGCATCCGATTATTGCGAAGATGATCCCTTTTCCAAAGAGTCTGGCTGTAGTCTTGTGTGGAATTTTGCTTCTTCTTCAACAGAATCCTTGAGGGCCCGAGGGGGAATCAATGTGTTGCTCTCGGGGTTTGGTTGGCTCAGGCAGCGTGCCCGCAGATGTTTGACATCAGCAGTGGTTCAGATGATGATGATGATGAGTCCGAGGTGCTCAGAGCGGGCAGGTCCTAGTTGAAAAAATCGGAAGGTTTGAGCAGGAACCCAAAAGCTTCGTTGATTGGTGACATCATTGGACGTTTTCCCATACAACTTGGTTGATTGGAAGCAATTAGGATCCAGTATGGGAACCTGAACCATCCAACCAGGACAATGCGATGAGATGCGGTTTGAACTCTGCTGTAAATTCCAAACAACGCTCGAAACTACAAAAAAGGACGTGGCACAAATTTAAGGTACAAAGAGGGATATAAGGTGCGAAGTGACTGCGAAGTGTGATTTCAGGTGAAACAAGGGGGGAGAAACTAATGGTTGCGATCCTATCTCAACACTATATACCATGATGAATGAATGAACTGCGGATTTTGGTCATGTGCGTCGGTTTCCAAGCCTCTGGAGGAGCCGCCCTTCGCCCCCCCCGAAGGGGATTACGGCGACGAAACCGAACGTGAAACGATGACAGATCTTATGTACAGGCAGGGCAAAATGGGGTATGTTTCTGGAGTTCATGGGGAGTTAGTGGGAATGCAGGGTGCCACCATTGTAGTAGGAGATGATCACTTTGGGGGAGCCCCTAATTGCCCCAATAAATCAATAGGGGGGTTACTAATCCAGGATTCAAATCAGAAGCACTCGGATGCCTGTACATGACACGTATGATTATTTGAGTATATAACGTGTATGCATGCATATTGTCTATATAGCTAAATTGTGCATGGCACACATAAATGAGAATATATGACATGCTGCATTTTTTTTTGTAAATATGATGCAGTATTCCTAGCGGCAGGTCGCCATCCAGCGGGCCTGGCACGCCAGACTTTGGATTTCAGGACCAAGATGCCCTGAAGTGGTTTTCTTGTGGGAGGGGCCGCGCTTGGCACAGGACGTTTCTTATCAAAAAGCATTGTGAACAATCAATGAATATAGAGGTTAGTTAATAATCCATGCGCACATATAGGCATAAGTATAAGTTATCTATGGCTATCTTAGGTTCCTGATGCTTTCTGAGTTTCCCATGTGTTCTTTGGACAGGAGGTTGCCACCGATCATATTGAAGATTTCGTATCCAAGGAGCTGCCTGCTTCGGTGTGTGATTTTAAGCAACACCTCTTGTGAATCCATGCTGGGTTCGAAGTCCTTTGAGCCATCTTCCATGCATGGGGCTGCCATGAGCACAAAACTCATCCGATGATATCTGATGCACAAATGAGTCAGTTGGGATCATGACCTTACGGG